TATACGAGTAGCAGATCGTGGTCCTTATATACTCCACGCCTTAGTCTAGCGAAGGAGAGGCGTTTTCGCTTAGCGCGCTAGCGGTCGTAATAGTTCCGTCGGTATACTACGTGCTTATTTAGTTTTAGTACACGTAGTTCGCGACGGCGACTACTAGTATACTATATACCTGTTTAGTTTTAGTATACGTAGTTCGCGCCGTTAATGGCGGCTACGCCTAGTATACTAGCGTTCGCTTAGTAAACTATATACCTGTTTAGTCTTAGTACACGTAGTCTATACCGGGCAGCGGTACACGAACCTTACCTAAAAGCTTAGTTACTATTATTTAATATACCTGTCCGGTATATCCCCTGGCCAGCTAGTACTATTAGACCTAGGGCTTCTAGGGTTTAAAAGGGCGACCTTTACTCTAGTATATAAGGGTAGAATAAAGATATCTTCTACTAAATAAAGGGGGAACCGCGCCGAGGGTATATCCCTTAGCCGGTCCGGTCTAACTATAACCCGAGTATCTATACTACGCTATTCCCGCGCGTAGTCCAGGCGCTATGTATTCCCTATCCGTATAGATAGTGCCGGAGCTATACATCCTCTATCCGCGCGAATAGCGCCCGCGCTATCCGCTTAGCTATAGAGCGGATAGTGCTTACGCTATCCTCGCTAGAGGCGTATTAAGGACGGTTTCTTCTACTTATAGGAGTAGGTTAGTTAGCTATAGTAGTGGAAGAGAAGGTTTAAGGAGACTTAGCCGTAGCAGGAGCCGTAGATACTGGATTAACGGCGGTGGTAGCAGTGGTTGATTCCTTTTCCAGAACTGATTAGTCAGGGGATAATAATCCTATTTCGACGGTATCGCCGGTTACGGCCGTATCGTCAGATTAATCTTCGGTATCGTTAGACCGTTTAAAAATAGGCGGTAGATCCGTAGTTCGGGTTAGTGGTATAGGAGGGCCGTTTATAGTTATTAGAGGAGGGAAAATAGGTGCTATTAGTGTAATTATAGGTGTAATTATAGAAGGCATTATTAAAGCAGGTGCCGCCGGAGGCGTGGAAGGCGTTATAGAGCTTATTTGCCCTATTCCACGTTCCTCCTATGCCTGCTAATCAGGTTAATCTTCCTGCTATTGTTATTCTTCTGCAGATTCTGCAGTGGTTATTAAACCTGCACCTCTATCCACCTCCCTAGAAGTAACGGCAGTAATAGCGGCGATAGCCATAGTGGCCGCCGTAGTAGCAGCCTCCGCTATTACCTCCCTCGTGGTATTCTGCTCTAGCAGCGTTTAAGGGTATAAATCGACCACGTCAGTAGTAATACCTAGAGGATCGTGGAGTTAATAATCTATAGGCAGATTAAGCTGCTCGAAAACCTTAATTAACACCTTAGATTCGTGGTCACGATCTTTATATAGCTGTTTTTAGTTAAAAGTGACGTCTCTCGTGCGCAGGATCCTCCCTAATTTTAGCACCTAAATCCGGTAGATATTAGTGCTCTTATACCCGATCAAATACCCGATATATACTCTTTCGGCTAACTTAGCGTTACGGTTACGACCTTATTAGTAGTTAGCGGTTAGTGGATAGGCTCTATAACTATACCTCTTTAGATGGCTAACGATAGGCTTCGTTAGGATCTTCTTTAGGCCTTATTTATTAATCTAATCCTCTATCTACCCTTAAGGGGTTTTCCACTAGAGGTCCTTCCGAGGGATAAGGTTATACAGATATACTGCAGTAGTCACTAGTTCTGGCTATATATCCTATTAGATGCCTAAGACCTTTATAAGGGTCCTCGCGATGGTAAAAATAACGCCGCCGTGGCGTTCTGCCTTCGGATTCTATACGGCTATATATAGGGATAACCTCTTAAGTAAAATCCCTCTCTCGTCAGCCTATTTATCGAAGCCTTTCTAAAGGGATCTTTCTCTATCCAGGCGGATTACTGTAATTATATAGTGGTACTGCCTCTAAAGGAAGAACTTAAAATTCACTAACGTGGGTAAGGTTGATTTATAGTCACGCAGGAACCTTATAATAGCTTAACGAGTACAGGGATCGTATAAAAGCATCACGACCTTTATACCGTTATAGGCCTCGTTAAGGCTAAAGAGGTTAACCTCCACCCTATACCACGGCCTCGTCGTTTAGTGGTTAGGTAACCTTCTAGAAATAACCTTCTTCGCCTTACTAAGGGTATAGGCCTTATAATCCACCACTAGAGGGCCTTTTTAACGTCTTTTAATAACGCCTCTAATAAGGGTATCTTCTATTTTATCGAGGGCAGTAGCGCCGGCGTGCCCTAGCCTCTTATACTATAAGCGAACGTCTGCCACGCTTATAGTAGGCGTTATAGAGCTATTAAAGAAGCTGTTTAGTAGGTGCTATTAACGATCCGTTAGAACAAGAGCGTATTAATCGTTAACGTTATTTAGAGGTAGGGCTACTAAGCCCTCCACCTTTAGCACTTTAAGGCCAGAATCAAAAACGATACCCTATTCCTTTAATCTTCTAGTCGCGATTAAGGTTATTAGGTAATCTTATATAAAAGTAACGCGATTTAGCACTAAAACGAAGGGATTACTATATTCGTCGTCTACCTCTAATTATATCCTGCTATAACCCTTAACTGGCTTAGTCTCTCCACTACCCGTTTAAAAACGATACTCTTCTATAGCAGGTTCGAAGTCCTAAAGCAGGTATCGTTAGTTAGTAATATACCTAAAGGTGCCGGAATCGATTAATAACTGGTTAAAGAGGTTACTACTAACGCTTTCTTTTCCGTTAATCTATAGGAGGGAGTATATCCTATAGGATTTCTCTTCGGAATCCTCCTCTTAGTTATTAATAAAATTAGATGCCTCCGTCGACGATTCTTTCGGCTATAACTTCTAAGAGTCCTTTTTAGCACCCGTTTTCAGGCTTTTAGCATTCTTTTCGATATTCTCCCGGAATCTCTTTTAACGTTTATTATCCCAGGTCTTAATAATATGGTCGACGCGTTCTAAGATCTCTTTTAAAGGTATATATCCCTTTTTCCTGCGTGCCTCGTTAACGTTTAGGCACTTCTATAGAGGCTTATAGTTATATTTACTCCTCTTCTTATTACGGTAGTCGTATAACCACTCCTTCTTCTATTTGTTAGACGGTTAGTTACCCTATTATCCCGATTATACCCGTTAATCCTTACCTTCTTTATCCTTACCTAGGAAGGTTACCGTATAAAAGGATAATACGGTAGGCTTCTTATCGAGTCGGTGCGGGTAGCGGCGATAAAGCTATATCGTATATTCCTCTACGATAGATTAAATCGAGGGTAGGTCTTCCTCTTCTAACCGGATAAGCTATATAAAGCGTCCTTCTAACTATTCTAGTGCTACGTTACCGATAGCGTTAAAGAAGCCGTCTATCTATTATTCCTTAGTATCGTATTCTCGGACTTTATACGTCTTAGCGTCGCAGTATAGCTTTATAAAGTCTTCTAGCCAGCGCTTATAGGGTATACGCCTAACATTTTAGAGGTGTTTATCCTAGCGTCGCTTAATTAGTGACTTCTAGGCGGCGTTCGTTAGCTTAAGGTGCGTCTTAAGAGTATACAGGATATCCTTAACTTCCTTTTTACCGGCGTACTAATCCTTTAAAGCAGGGCTAACCGTCTTCGCGATATAGTCGTGGAGTGCTTAAATCCCCCTCTTTTCAGCCTTATACCGATCCTCTTCCACCTACTAGATCTTAAATAGTATATCCTAATTACCTCTTCCTTTAATAGAGGCTAGAGGCGTGGGTAGATCTATTCGTATACAGCGCTTAGGCCGTTTAGCTTCTTTAAGGTCGGGATTAATAAGGTCGGCGATATCGTGGGAGTGCGCGATAGTTATCACGGCTTTAATCTAAGGCCTCTAGTCTTTCGGAGAGGTAAGCGTTACGAGGCCTATAACGGGCACTACTACCGTGGAAGCTATCGTTATACTAATAAAAAGCAGTGGAATAGGATAAACGGAAAGGTTAATTAACTAAACCAAACGCTTAAAACGATAATACGATTAAAAACGATAAAACGATTAAATAAAACTAAAGCAGGCGGACGTTACTAATAATACTAAACTACTCGCTGCAGACTTAAGGCTAATTTAATAGCCTAGAAGCTATAGGATCGATCGGAATAGCTTCGTTTATTAGAACGCCGGGCTTATAACTATCAGAACATAAATAAGGTACGCGGAATTATATATGTATTTATCTAAGTGAAGTTTATGATACTTCACGGGAATATCTAACTATACGGAAAAAGCAGGGGAAATAAGGGTGGATACATAGGACCGAGGTACTCCACACGTCTGACACTATGTGGTTTATCACACCCCGATAAGGTAGCTGTGGCATCTGACATAAGGCGTCCCCTTGTTTGGCGTTCCTGATGGTGGCTGTTAGCGGTTTTAAGCCTCCCGCCGTCCAAGCCGGACTATCCAGCCACATTATATTTGAGGACGGTCTACGGTCTCGCTAGGGAGAAACCAGTGTGTTCTGCACCGGCGAGATGACGGGAGGCGATAGCCCAGCCCCCTGAATTGTACAAACACACTTGATCATCAGAATATAGCAAATGCAGTGGATGCAGTGGATGCAGTAGATGCAGGCACCACCAGGGCGAGCATTTCGGCTCCGTCTCGCTCTAGTAAGGATAAACCCAGACATATAAACCGGGAAGATGCAAAGAGCGACGGCATTTCATGGCTCTCGTTCTTTCTTAAGCCCATAGTATCACAAATTCACTCTTCTTGTCACGTATCCCGAGTCAAACAAGGGGCAAAGCCATCAGTCTTACATCGTAGAGCTACGCAAAAGACAAGCCTGCGGGGACCTCTAGACCAGTGCAGATGCGAGCGAGAACACTACCATGGCAAGTGCTTCTTTTAGCAGCCAGCCACCTTAACGACGACATGCTCCGAACCACAGCAGCGCAAGGGGCCAGACAGCTCAACATAGACGACGCCCCAGGCACCATGACGGCCCAGCTCGCACTGAACTTCCCCGACCCGAGCATCCTGCAAGACTCCAACGGGATCTGGTACGCCTTCGCGACGAACGGCAACGGAAAGCACGTGCAGGCGGCATGGGCGCGGGACCCGCTCGGGCCGTGGATGTACTACGACCGGGACGTGCTCCCGGACACCGGGTGGGCGACGGGACGGGAGACATGGGCGCCCGACGTGCGGCGGGCGGTGGACGGGGAGTACGTGCTCTACTTCGCGGGCGAGGTGCCGGGGCAGCAAGGGAGGCACTGCATCGGCGTGGCGACGTCGAGGCCGGAGCGGGGGATCCTGGGCCCGTATACGCCGCAGATGCAGCCGTGGGTGTGTCCCCTGGACCAAGGGGGCGCGATCGATGCTTCTGGCTTCGTGGACCCGGCGACGGGGAGGCGGTACGTGGTGTACAAGATCGAGGGGTACTCTGACTGGGCGTGCAACGGCAACAACAGTAGGCCCGGGCCCGAGGGGGGGTGGGCGTCGACGCCTATTATGCTGCAGGAGGTCGGGGCGGACGGGTACAGCAAGATCGGGCAGGCGACGACGATACTAGACCGGGTGGAGGCGGATGGGCCGCTCGTGGAGGCGCCGAACCTGGTGCGCACGAACGATGGGGTGTATGTGCTGTTTTACAGCAGCAACTGTTTCAATTCGCGGCGCTACAACGTCAACTATGCCACGAGCAGCCGGGATGTCAGGGGGCCTTATGTGAGGGCGGAGGGCCCGCTCTTGCAGACGGGGAGCTTTGGGCTGGTGAGCCCCGGTGGGGGGACGAGTGTGGCGGGCGGGCCAGAGGTGTTGGTGTTCCATGCATATTGTCCCCAGGGACGGTGCCTGCATGCCACGCGGTACTCGTCTGGCGGGAGTAGGATGCGTATTCTGGGATGATGACGGGAAAGAACGGAGATGAGGCGGGCAAGTAGTAGCCGAGAGAGATGTGAGTGACGATAGCGGCGGGTAGGCGTTTCGTTTGTTTTCGTTGGGTGTTTTTCTTTTCTTTTGGTTCTCGGTCTGTTTGGTTTTGGTTTTGGAATAGACAAACAGACCAAGACAGGAGTCTCGCTGCCACACCAACACTTTTTTTCTCTTAGGAGGTTATAATATGGACGAATATAAAGAATCGGATTGGTGAAGCTGGTGACGATGGTGGTTGCGAGTTTGCGTCCCACAAAGCCACCAAAACTGCAGTGGTGAGGATGAGAAACGTTGGGCTGGCTACCTTACCTAAGGTACCAGGTACAGGACTTCATCGTACCTCCGTCCCTGGCCCCACTCCCACTAACCAGTGCCGAAAGTCCCCTGGAGATCCACTGTGATATCGACCTCAGGTGGGTATGTCCCCGCTGTTAAGCGCCGGGCTATGGTGCCGAATGTTACTTGGTCGAAAGGGCGGCCTATGCCGACCTCTAATTCGTCACTGGTCTTTTATCCCCGATAAGGGCTTTACGCAGCATCGTCCACCCACAGTCTCTTCTCTCTTCTTCAACTTCAACCAAGTTAATTAGCTTGTTGTCCTTGGAACACCCCATGTCAGTCGAAGCCTTTAAGGCACCTGCAGCCCGCGTCTGTCCTTTCTATTCGTCTACGAGTTGGTCACGGGACTTCGATCTCCCGTCTTTACAGCGCGTGTCTCTCAAGTTGGATCTCTCGACTGTCGACTCTCGACCCTCGACCCTCGACCCTCGACCCTCGACTCCCGCCAACTCTCTTCTTTTGCCTCCCTACTGGCCACTGACAGCGGTCAATTACTGTCAAAACCATGCTAGTCATCTCGTCCATCCAAGCTTCTTCGTATTCCCATCTGATTACCCTCCTGGATTTTCCCTAGGATCATATGCAACATGCGATCATTGGTCACATCTTTTGAAGAACTCTCTTCAGGGGCACATTTCTGACATTTGTGCATGGGTTCAGCATCCGCTTCACTTGGACCGAAGTTCTTTGCTCTCTTGCCGCTCTCCCGACTTCTTGTCTCGGAACGTTGATCTCTCTACCATGGTATTCCATCCGCCCCTCCTTCTACAGGCGGCTCTGGGCGTGTCTTCTCTCGGCGACTGGCCCATCTATACGTCGTTCATTGGTGTGCACCGGGAGGAGGGTGTGATGAGAATCCAGACCCCCGGCATATTATATCACTTCTCGCACAGCCTAAACACACGACACGCGCGCGTGCCGTGGTGACGAGCAGTTTCCCATCGGGAACGTTCCTCCATCATCGTGTCTCTTTACTGTTCTTCCGTTTGAGCTGTGCCCGGATATGATTCTCTTGTTGTCTTCAGACTTCAACTTTACTGTCCCTCCTCTTTTGCTCTTTCACATTCTTTCTCGCTGTCTCCCTTTTTAATCCTTTTTTTTTTCTTCCCCTATCCTACCTTACGCCTCGTAATAGTTGATACCCCATTGTATGGTTTCCTTCTCACCACGCTCCCTTACTTGACGTTCTACAATCTCTCCCCAGGGGGAGCATATTCATAGCCAAACATGGCAACAGTATCCTCCATCTTATTCTTGACTACCGTGCTCGCCGCATCTGCTTCAGCCCTCCAGGTCACGCCTAATTCACCCTGTGCTTCGGTGTGCTTGGACTCCAAAGACCTGGACTCGTCCGACCCCGATTCATCCAACACGTTCAGCAGCGACATTGCATGCGATGACGCCGAGATCCGATCAACCGCCAGAGGCCGGAAATTTCAAAAATGTATGACATGTCTTGAAAGAAGCGATTTCGGAGATGACCAGGAGAATGATCAGACGTGGTTCCTCTGTAAGTGATGCATCGCACCAGCGCCGTCCTCTCCCAGCTTCATCGAGACTGACAATGTCCCAACAGACAACATGAGGTTTTCCTTCAACTATTGTGTCTTTGGTTTCCCAGACGGCACCGGAATGGAGTCCAACCCTTGTTTGACCAGCACAGCTTGCGGCGGTCTACAAAACGCCCTAACCGAAGACGAGCTGGATCCTCTCAAGTCTTCGCCGTCAAAGCACTCGTATTGCGACGCCGATGACGGTGCCATGCTTTCGGAAACCTACGGTCGCTGTCTGGATTGCTTCAGGATTGGGAACGACCGTCGCTACCTAACAAACTGTGCGTGGCCGTCTTGGTGAATCGTGATATGGTGATCCCGTGTCGTCCGACTGACAAACTCTTCACAGTCCTGATAGCGCTAGAGACCGGTTGCCAGCAGCGTCCTGGACCAGGTCAACTCGTCAGCCTCAACGATACCGTCTTCAGCACGACTCACGTTCAGGCGGTTGATCCTTTTGGCAGCGATTCAGACTCTGACGACAATGCGCCGCTCGCCGTCCCCGCCATCGTGGGGATTGTGGCCGGAGCCGTTGTCGTGGTCCTCCTCGCCGTCATCGGAGGCTACATTCGATACCGCAAACGCAAGAGCTGGCTCAAAGAGGGCCCAATCGAGCGCCGCCTGCGCCGCCACTCTTCCCTCTCGTTCCGTTGCCAGACCCATCTTACACCGAAAACCCCAAACTTCCCCATCGACCAAGAAGAAGTCGCGAAGGCTTTAGAAAACGAGAAGCCGTGGGCTCATCCCGCCGAGCCCCCGAACTCCCACCCCCCGGCCTCCCCCGAGATGGGATCATGGCACCCAGCCTCGTCGCCGATGATTCCCAGCGCCTCTCAAATCCCTTACCAGGAGCAGCAATACCACCCATCCCTTTCCGTCGCGACATCACACCTCCCCGGCAGCCCGCCTAAAGTCCACTCGCCTCGCCAGAAACACTCCCCCGCGGACGACTACCACAAAACCCCAACATCCACCACCTCCGCCTTCTCCACAACCCCGCTGCTCCTGCCGCCCCTCCAACCCTACGTGCCGGCCGACTACGCCGCCCCGAACAGCGCCGTCACCCCCTCACCGCGGACCAACCCCGCCATCCCCTCTCAACCGCTACCTACCTTCAGCCCTTGTTCCACGAGCCCGGTTCCCAGCCAGGGCGGCAACTGGCCGCTCCCCGACGACGTGCAGGACTACTCGCCCGTCGTCGTCGTCGTGGAGCAGCAGCAGCAGCAGCAGCGCCAGCAGGGACGCGTCATCGACGTGCTGCTGGGGGTGGAAGCGGCGCCTGTTCCGGTCGCTGCGCCGTCGCAGCAGAGGAGGGGGCTGGGGCTGGGGCTGGCGGTGGCGGTGTCGTCTTCTTCGTCGTCGTCTCTGCGAGGGGGGAGCCCGATTGAGAGCCGGACGTTGCAGACTTCGTTTCCTCCGCCGCCGCGGGCCGGCTGGAGGAGGTAGCGAGGTTGTCATCGGACGAACCTTGTATTTGAATCAACGCATACACCTTCTTTCGACATTTCCTTTTCTTTTTCCTTTTCCCCCTTTTCTTTTCTCTCTTGCCTTCTATTTTGCAGCTTCGGTTTCTAGCCACGGGTGAACGAGGACCAACCTCAATGTAATAGTACGACTACCGACATTTTTTTTTGTCTTTTCCTTTATCGGTGGAGCAAGCGTGGGGGAGTTCGGAGATGATTCTTCTTGATGTGGGTGATTGATGGGTGCTTAGGAGTTTAGAGGTTCAGATCTGCTCTAGGCACTTGGGCGGAAGGGAAAAGAGAAGCGTAGAAGCAACGAGGCCACTCCTTGATACCATTTAGTACTCTGTAATCATTCCATTTTCCTTGTCGGTCAGGGTTCTGTGGCTTCTAAACGTCGACACCCGAGTTTCTACAATTATGTGAAGTCTTCATGGTCAGAAGCGAAGCTTCCGTGATGGGACAAAAAGGGGCATATATCTAGAAACAACAACACCAAATGGCTTTCATAAACGTAATCCTGAGATAGTGAGACGCCTCTTGCGTTGTTTATGTCATATTGTTCAAGAATATACACAAAGTTGCCTTTGCCAGCCAATATGCCCTCGATGGTCTGAATCTTTCCGCCCCCCGACCCCCCTGAATGCCAGGGAAAAACACTCACAACGAGACAAAAGAGAACAGCCAAACCGCGTCCCCTGAACGCCAAAGCTAATCGCAAATCGGTCAGATGCAACCCAAAAAAAAAAAAAAAAAAAAGGGACTCGACGTCCCATGTTTTCCTTCTGTTATCCTCGATTTCGCTTCCTCTATACATGACCTTCAGCCGTGTCCGCTCCATGAGCTATCCCTGCAACTCATTTGGTCCTGCATCATCTCGCTCTGCTCCCGGAACCACCCCGCCGACTCGTCCAGTTCCGCCCTCGAGCTCCTGAGCGATCCCAATGTCGCCCGAGCCTCCTGCAAGATCCTCTCCACCTTGTCGTTGGACGCTGCCCGCCTCTTGGTAACGCCAGACCCGTTGACCAGCGCAGCTTCCTCCTCCTCGGCGGTCCGCTTCCGTTTCGACGTGGGAGGCGACATGTCGTTGACCTGTTTTTGTGTTTGTTTTCCAGTCGTACTACCGGCGCCGGCGCCACTGCCGCTGAGAGACTGCGAGAACCGCGCGCGGACGGCAGCCGCCTGACCCAGGTCCGCCGACGTGCTACGGCTGCGATGCCGCTGGGTGGCCCCATCCAGCCCGAACGAGCCCCATCCTTCGTACCGTTTGCCCTCATAGCGCATCGAGTTGGCCAGAGCTTCCGGTAGAGCGGTGCCGTCCGGCATCGTGACCAGTCCCATGGCCTTGAGACGCCACCTGTCGGAAACCTTGCTGATGCGCTTCGGCTGGGCCTCGGCAGGCGACGAGTGGCGCGACGAGACCGACGAGATCCCCGACATGGAAGGGAGCGAACGGCGGAAATGGCTGCTGGAGCCGCCGCCGCCGCTACCGCTACCGCTTCCGCTGAACTGCGCCCGGAGAGCTTGGATTTTGGCCCCGCCTGGCTTGCTCCCCTGCACGGACTGAGACAAACGGCTGCTGTTGCTCGTGCCGTTGCCGTTCGGCGTCTTCTTTGGTGTCGACGTAGTCCTCGCAGCCGGAAGGGGCTGGTCTCGGATGATCCGCGCCACGGCTTCCCGTTCATTCTCCACGCCGGAAAGGATGCCGCTCGCGAGGAGTGCCTCCTCATGGTCGTGCGAGCCGTCATCCTTTCTCATGTGCAACAGCTCCCTGAATTCCTCCACCGGGTCAATGCCATGATAGCGTTCCAATGCCGCCTTTTTGGCTGCCTCCACCTCCTTCGCCTTCTTCTTCTTCGCTGCCTCTTCGGCGCGCATGGCGGCGAGTGCGGCGCGGTATTGCTCCCGATCTCTCTGCCGAAGCCTTCTGACTCGCAATTTCCGAGCAATCTCCCTCCAGCGATAGAAATATTTAACTCGGAGGTTGTAGACCTGGAAGCGACGAGCCTCTGCCAGGTCCCTTTCTTCCTCTTCCCTGCGCTTCTTTTCCTCTTCGTCTTTGACGAATTGTTCAAAAGTCTGCCGGACAATCTGTTCCACCGCAAAGATTTCGAATTCTTGCAGAAGACCTTGGTCGCCATTGGCGAACCACTTGGTGAAGTCTCCCAGAAGATCCCTTTTCGGTGCTGGGGGTTGGGCCACCGATGGCGCAGCCGGCTTCAGAATCGCGCCGGCTTGATTTAGGCCAGACTGCGGCGGCAATTCGGGTGGCTGCAAGGGTTGAGTGGTACTGCCCAGGACTGAAGGAAGAGTCTTTGCGCCGTCCTCAGAAACGTCAGCCGGAGTTTTGCGAGCAGGAGATGCTGGTGTTACGGTGATAGCCGGAGTTTGGTCGAATGTAAAGGTTGGCGGGGCAATACGCGACGACGATGGTGCGCCAGTAGGGGCATTGGCCAGTGGTGAAGACGACGTCTGACTTGTGCCCGAGCCAAAAGGAAACGCAGATGGTGCCGGAGATGCGTTTGAGTCTCGTAGTGCCTCGAAGGGTTTATCCCGCGCTTGAGGTTGCGTGGAGGAAGATGGCAGATTCGGCACGGGTTGTTGAGCAGGGAATCCAGCGGATGGACCGGACGGCGCTGGTAGGGACGTGAAAGGGCTGACAGACGGCGGTGTCGCATCACCAGGCTTTCCAAAGCCGGCCGGTGGATTGGCAGCTGAGACCCCAAACGGACGCGATGGAGCCGCAGTGGTGCCGGCTGGTGTAAGGCTGGTCTGAGCAAACGGAGTCGATGCGAATGCGCTCGTTCCCCCAGGCTGCACGAATCCGCTAGGTGTCGGAAACGTACCTGCACCGCCGGGAGGCTCGTTGGCTTTCTCTGATGCGGCAGGTGGAGGCGCTTTTTGCGAGAAAGGATTAGAGAAGGGTGAAGAAGATGGAGGAGGAGGGGTCGGTGCAGACGGCGTCGATGAAAAGGGGTTGTTGAATGTCGAGGGTGGAGGCTTTGGGGACTCGGATGCAACGGGCGCGGAGGAGAATGGACTCTTCTGGTCCGCTGACGTTGCAGCGGGACTCGAGGAGAAAGGGCTCTTGGATGTAAATGCGTTGGACGGTGGCGCTGCGAACGGTCCCGTAGCATTGGCAGAAGCCGCCACAGCTGTTTGGGGAAGGGTCGAGAAAGGACTTTGTCCGAACATCGGTTTGGCTGTGCCTGAGTTGTTGCCGGATTCTGATGAGCAGGGTTAGCTACGCATGTTGCGTACCAACGAAGTGTGTCTGCCGGAGCGCCATGGGGACGGCGAGGAGGAAGAAGACAGTGGTGCCTACCTGTTTTCGAAAAGACACCGACGGTATTTGGTTCAGAGGGTTTGCCAAAGGCAGAAGGCCAGGCTTGGCCGGGGTGTGCAGTGTCCAAACCGTTACTGGCTTTGCCAGCATCGATGGCGAGTGAAGGCGGTCCCTTTCCGGAAACACCTGTCTCGTAGAATGTGTTGCGAATAACATCGGGTAGTGAGTACGAGCCGCGCTTCTCCTCGACAATGTTGTGTGAGAAAGCATGGCGTAGTCTAGGGAGGCTGAGCTGATCCGTGACTTTTAGGTATTGTCGTGACCGGTCGAGGGGCGCATCTTCATGAGGTACGAAGCTCAGGCCGTGTTGTTCAGCAAAGTCGACCGCCTCTTGGTCAGTATCGAATCTCAGAAAGGAGTTGAGCAGAGCAGGCGTGATATCTTTGGCAAGCACTTTCGGTCTCCAGTAGGCTCTCCTCAAGGTCCGGAGGATCGAGCGACGGAGCTGGCCGAAGTGGATTTCTGCAAAACACGCCATCGTGTAGGACACACTGCGGTCTTCCACGATCCTAAAGTACGAGTTGATGTTGCCCGATATTGCGACATTCGGGGCAGCCCCCAGAGGCCCGTGTAGGTCGGCAGTGCTATGGAGAGCCTCGGCCAGCGAAACGGCGGTGCGGAACTCATCCGACTCCTTCCAGCAGCGAGCATTAGCCGGATCCTGTTGGACGGTGTCGAGAATATTCGGTTGGTTCGCGCTGAAGAGGAGGTGATAAGCCCTGAACTCGGGCTCGTTCGGGCAGACAAGCCCTTGCGATCTGCTATCATCGTAGGCGAACATGAGGGAGAGGAGGGTCTTTCCGAGTTGCTCCAGTTCTTGTTGTTGCGAGAAGTCTTCTGGCGCGATGCCCGGCTTCGACAAGATATGAAGAGAGGTGACGTGGAAGCGAGCGATAGTCTCCAAGCAGTAGACCTGGTCCTTCATCTCATCGGTGGTCATGGTGGAGTGGAAGACAAAGTCGCGTCGAATGGCACGAGTTCGGTCCCACAAGTAGCCGTGCAACAACAGCAAGTCCTCCTCCTTTTTGAGCAAGACGTTAACCAGATAGTCCAGGGTGCGGCGTAGAGCCGCCGTGGTCCTGACATCCATGGGAAGAGGGGCTTCCTGGCCTGCAGCAGACCGTGCCAGCTTCTTCACCATCTTGCCGGTGACAGGGAAATTGGTATTCGGGTCCCTCTCGGCCTGCTGAACATCGTGTTCGAAAATACGCGTGATTCTTTCGAATTCGGGACACATGTCTTCGCAGATACCCTTGAAGTCGATGGCGTCTTCCAACCTCTTGGGCTTGTCGGGGTCGTCGATGAGTCCGCCGCCCATGAGGGAAGCGCGAGCCCGATCTCGGTACTCCTTGAACTGGTCTCTAAATCTTGCCAGCGCCGTCTTGTGATGTTGGGCCGGATTTCCCGGTTCGGACGGCCATTTCGGCCGGAAGATCTTGTCCTTCTGGAGTTTGTCGTAGATGCGCTTCGCGTAGATCGAATTCGCGGTCATGGCGGTGGTGTCGTCGCCCACTCCGTTTCCAAAGGCTTCGTAGTCATCATTCTCAGTTAGTTCGACGCTCGACTGCCGACCGTCGGGTTGAGCAGAGCCAAAGCCGCCAAAGGTGCCGAACCCTTCCTGTGACTTGGTGGTGGTAGTGCCAAAGCTACTGCTCTTGTTCCCGGTCCCCGTCGCCGTCGCCGTCGCCGTCGCCGTCGCCGTCGCCGTGACGAATGGATTAGGCTTGGCCGACTTGGAATCGCGGCCGTTCACAGCAGGAGCCTGTCCGGTGGCGTTCTTCTTCTTCCTGCCATCGCTGACCCCGTTGTTCTTGCGTCGGCGACCGTCGTCGGAGCTTGCGCCATCGAACGGACTCGCGCCTCTCCGTTTCGTCGAACGCTCACTCATTTCGTACTTGTCTGGATTTCTTTTGTTGCGCCAAACCCAGAGCCGCGATCGCCAACGCCATCGAGGCCGAACGGGAAAGGCTCTGCAACGGGTCTCCCAGGACCTTCGGGGAGAAGTGGTAATGTCGGAAGACGATGTCGCGGTCTGTTTTGGGAGTGCAGGTTAGGTAAAAGAACAAAGGGACATCACCTTTGTTTGGTGGATTTTCAGGACGAGGCTGAACTCACCGACAGCAAGGCGAAAGAGAAGTGGATTCCTCTGGGGGCGTGAAACTGTGACCCATTGGGGTGTGCATTTAATGTGGGTCTGCCACACTTTGGGCTGGGTAAGGTACCAATACAAATATACAAATACGACCTTCTGAATTGTACGGATAAAGACGACGAGTCGGGTTGGAGTTTGGAGAGAGATTCAACGTAAATTATTCCTTGTAAAAGAGAAAATTATAACTACCTGGAAGGTTTAGGTTTCCTTTTATTCAAACTCATATTCCTATCAGGTATTGACGGTTTACAGAGTAAACGCCTGTGGAACAAGACAGTTTGTACCCCCTATTTTCATGTTCATCCTCGTCTTTTGCTGCTATTGTTCTTGTTTTTAAGGCTGACTATAAGAATCCTTCCCCTCAAGTAATTAGAAGAATGCCCGAATGGCCCAAGCCAGGAACAGTATCTTGCTTTGATACCTGCTTTTCTATATGCCTCGGAGACAGCCACCTTATATGTTATCGTGTCCGAAGTGGAAAAGAAGACGTTTAGGGTCTATTACGCCTCGAAAATAAGAAAATCAGACAGCTTGTTGTAGAGGGTATCATTAAATCATTAGTCGAGCATATCCGAAGAAAACGGCAAGCTGCTAAACTAGGCCTTTCCCTTCGTCCGGAGCCTCGCTGGTCCCAACCCCTTCCTGATCTCGTCCAACTGCTCGATACCGGTCTGTGGTCTGGTCTTCTTTGACGTCCGCTTTCCGGGCCTTGTATAGTTGCCCAGGAAATCATCGAGGATATCATCAAAATCAGCCCTTGTTGTGCCTTGGGCACTCGACATGGCCGACACGGCAGAAACAGAGCCCGTCTCGTCGGCTCCCATCTCACCCGCGTACTCCTCGTCGATCTTGTCGAACCTCGCATCCAGGAATGAGAGCTGTTCTGTTCTAATCATGGAAGACGACGTCATCGAGTACGTCGAGGGATTCGTCAACGCCCCCTTGCGTTTCTTGCGTCGCCCTCCCATCGTCGTTGTGGTCCACAGGGACGATTGGACTTCGGATGGATCGACGGCACCCCGGGGTTTGCCGCTGTTCTTCTGATCTTTCTTAAATTGCTTGAAGTCTTCCATCCAGTTTTCGTTCTGGCGTTCCTCGGTAGGTTCGCCCTCCACTCCGACAAGCTGAGGCGCGTCATCGTCGTTATATTCCCTTGTCGGCTTAGCCGTGCCGTCTGACTCCCAGCCCTCGTCATCCTCGTCGTCGAACTGGTCTTCGAAAGCGCTTCGTGGAATCTCCTTGTTGTCCTTGGCCAACTGCTTGAAGATATCTTCATCGTCGTCGACGTATGCATCGTCCTCGAGTGCTTCCAGCACCTCCCTTAGCCGGGGATCCATATCCGGCTGGAACCCAGCAATGTCGTCGGGCACATCTTGCTGGGACTGGTAGTTGAGCTTGGGCAAGTTTCTCGACGGCAGGACCTCATCGTCAAAGAGAGACCTGGAATCGTCTCTCAAGTTCATTTCACGAAGCGCATCGTCAAGCGATTGCGTCTGCTTGCCCTTGCCCTTGTTCGAAGTCGATTCGGCCTCTAGCCAGACAGCCTCGCCACCGCCGGCATTCAAGTCGCGAAGATGTTGCATGTAATCATACTCGGTATCGTCGTAGTAGACGCCATACTCGGCGGCCTCGCCTTCATTCTCCCGTATGCTCGCCGCTTCTGATCCTAGTTCCGATGCGAGGTCGTCCAACCGCTTGGCTTTTGATGAAGAACTTCGTTGTGATATCGGATTAAGCACCATCGATGGCGCTGTTTCGTCGTGGATTCGCGGGTCATTTTGCGGTCGGTGGACGAGGGTAAAATGCTGTGCATTCTTCTTGTCGCTATTGTGAATATGAGCATACCGTGTCTGGTTCGATAGACATTATACAGTGTGATAGAAACTTACATCCAACCTTTCCCCATTTTGGGCTTTATAGATGAGGGACAGATAGCGATTGATGTTATTCGTATTTGGAGAGCGGTTTCCAAGGGCTGGGGGGTTTGAGTGCTTCGGTGTGTGCGTAGGTAAATGCAGTCAAAACCTGGCGGGGCAGAGGAGTTCAGCGCCAACACAAAACAAAACCCAGAGTTGGGGAAAAAATGAGGAACGATAAAAAAGATAAAAGTGGAGTGCGCTGCTTATCTTATCTCCGACCAGATTATCCGCACTGTCGCTTTGCCAGGATTTTCCACCTGTCGTACAGTAAAATACAGTATAAATACGGTGCCGTGACGAACTTTGCCCCGCGGTTTTCTATCGCATTATTCAGCGGGGCAAGAAATCATCAACGATCAACATAACCCCAAGGCGACGGATCCTTCTTCATCTTCTCGTCGTCCCAACCATTCCCGATCGACGAGAGAAGACACATAGGAGTTTCAGCAAAAATGGTCCAGCCAAAGTCAAAGAAGTCGGTGGGGTTGGGGAACACCCTTATGAATGACCGTTTCGGGAAAGGAAAAGGAGCGGATAGGAAGAAAGCAACTGCCATCGCGCGAGTCAATCACAATACTGGAGAGGAGGTGAGACCATTACATCTGACGCTGGTATAGGACGTTGGGCTAACTGTTGGTCCTTTAGTATCTCACGAACGAAAAAAAGGAGGCATCATGGGTCAAGATGCGCTCCGTCACCGAGCAGGGCGCCCTGGATGAGTTCCTGTCGACCGCAGAGCTGGCGGGAACAGACTTCACCGCCGAGAAGATGAACAACATCAAGATCATTCATACCGACCAGAAGAATCCCTATCTACTATCCGCGGCTGAAGAGCGTGCGGTTGCCGGTAAACATCGAGCACACAAGGGACGGCTGACGGTTCCAAGGAGGCCGGAGTGGGATGCCTCGACCTCACCCGAGCAACTCGATGTTCTCGAGAGGGAGAGTTTCATCAACTGGAGGAGAGGTCTTGCCGAGCTGCAGGAGAACAATGATCTTCTGATGACTCCCTTTGAGCGAAACATTGAGGTTTGGAGACAGCTATGGCGTGTCATCGAGAGATCGGATCTCGTGGTTCAGATCGTCGATGCTCGAAATCCGCTCCTCTTCAGATCAGAAGATCTCGGGGATTATGTTAAGGCGGTTGATCCGAAGAAAGAGAACCTCTTGCTCATCAACAAAGCCGATATGATGACATACTCGCAGCGTCTGGCTTGGGCGAGATACCTGAAAGGAGCGGGCATAGCGTACAAATTCTTCTCTGCGAGCTTAGCGAAGGAGCTTCTGGATGCGGAGGAAGAGGATGATCATGACACACCGTCTGCTCCTGCTCAGCCTGGGAGCTCTCAGACGAGGCCCGAAGGAGTATCAAGTGACGAGGAGGAAGAGGACGAGAGCGAAGGGGAGGGTTCGGCTGATGATGACGACGTTGAAGATAAGAAGAAAAGCCCTGAGGCACCTTCATCGCAGGTTGAAGTAACCGAGGACGACACGCAGATCTTGACGGTGGAGGAATTGGAGGAGATCTTCCTTAGCCACGCTCCAAAGGATGCAGGTACGTTTCAAAGCCCTCCCTTCTCCCCCCCCCTTTTCCCTCTTTTGTCCCAGGATCTCAATTTCTAACTCCGCCCACAGGCGAAGATCACAAGCTGCAGGTTGGCCTCGTGGGTTATCCTAACGTTGGTAAATCATCGACTATCAATGCTCTCATTGGTGCCAAGAAGGTGTCCGTCTCAGCGACGCCTGGAAAGACAAAACATTTCCAGACCATCCACTTAAGTGAGAAGGTCTTGCTATGCGATTGCCCGGGTTTGGTATTTCCGAACTTTGCCAATACGAAGGCCGACCTAGTGTGCAACGGTGTCTTGCCTATCGACCAACTTCGGGAGTACACCGGTCCTGCAGGACTCGTGGCGCGAAGGATACCCAAACATTTTCTGGAGGCGATCTACGGGATCCACATTCCCATTCGACCGCTCGAAGAAGGGGGAACAGGCACCCCAACGGCCGAGGAACTTCTCAGGGCGTACGCCAAGGCCAGAGGGTTCCAGACGCAAGGTCTTGGGCAGCCAGATGAGTCGAGGGCCGCTCGATATATCCTGAAGGACTACGTGAGTGGCAAGTTGCTGTACTGCGAGCCACCACCAGGCGACATCGATCCTGATAAGTTCAACGCCGAGCTCTATGACGAACTTCACGTACCCGAGAAACGGCGCGCAGCGCTCGCCGCGTCCCTCGCGACCCTCTCCCTCGCTGCAGACGAAGCATCGACCACAACATCGGACTTCGTCCCTCTACCGGCAGGGCCCAAATCCAAGCGACTTGACCGTGGCTTTTTTGCGGCAGCTGGTACTAGTACCGGCCACATGAAGATGCCCTTCAGTCATAAATACACCCAACAGGGCCAAGACCCCGAGAAGCAGCTGAGCGGCAGGAAGAGGCGGGAGCTAATAGCCATTCAGAACGGAATGGACCCTAAGGATGTGCAGTTAACGGCAGGCAAGAAGCACTTCAAGGCAGGGCCAAGGAACGGGAAAGGAAAGAAGCATAGGAACAAGCTAGACGACGATGAATAGTGAATTGGATCTCTGCAGGGTTAGCAAATATATTTCGGCACACATGGAGCTGGTGAAGACGGGCTTTCGCATCGAGCGAGCCAGCCGTGCTTGTCCCGTTATGAATATTGAGGCTTACCGATTCTGTCAGCCCTATACAGAGTCGTCCGAGTGAACACATCTTGAAACGTTTTCCGAGAGCCTCCGAGACGTGGATGCATGGTGTAATTTACAGGTACCGTGTTGTACCTTAGGCAGGTGCACGGACCCACCATAAATCCCATGTTTAGTAATCAATCTAGACGCGTTCCCTCGCGTAAAGTGGCTTTCGAACTTGGAAGGGACTGGCTCAGTGTTCGTATACATTGCCCTGATATCCTCCTCAATACCCACCTTCCACGATGCCGGCACAAAAGAGCACACAGAAACCCGAGGAACCTGGAGAGTCGTCGATATCAGCGGCCAAGAAGGCAGTAGCTGCCGTTTCAAATGGCCTTCAGACATATGAACTTCCTTGGTAGGTTCTTTCTGGGAGGCTTGAAACCGATGGGTGCGAGTGATTGATTCTCATACCAACTACAGGGTCGAGAAGTACCGGCCGGTCTTCCTTGACGATGTTGTCGGCAACACAGAAACGATCGAGCGACTCAAGATTATTGCAAAAGAAGGCAATATGCCACACGTCATCATCTCGGGAATGCCCGGCATAGGCAAGACGACGAGCGTGCTTTGCCTAGCTAGACAGCTGCTGGGCGATTCGTATAAGGAGGCTGTGTTGGAACTGAATGCCAGCGACGAAAGAGGTGGGTAGCAGGAGCAGCATTGCCCTGAAATTCTCGTCCGTTTCGCGCGCCCTCTGACAAGCATTGATTGTACAGGCATCGACGTCGTCCGGAACAGAATCAAGGGATTTGCCCAAAAGAAGGTCACCCTCCCACCGGGCCGCCACAAGCTGGTAATTCTGGACGAGGCAGACAGTATGACATCGGGAGCACAGCAAGCGCTCCGCCGGACGATGGAAATCTACTCCAACACGACGCGCTTCGCCTTTGCGTGCAACCAGTCCAACAAGATCATCGAGCCGCTGCAGTCGCGGTGCGCCATCTTGCGCTACGGCCGGCTGACCGACGAACAAGTAGTCAAGCGACTGCTGCAGATCATCGAGGCAGAGAAGGTGGAATACAGCGACGACGGCCTCGCGGCGCTGGTCTTCGCGGCCGAGGGAGACATGCGGCAGGCCATCAACAACCTGCAGAGCACGTACGCCGGGTTCGGCTTTGTCAGCGGCGACAACGTCTTCAAGGTCGTCGATAGCCCTCACCCCATTAAGGTCCAGGCCATGCTTAAGGCCTGCTACGAAGGACAGGTCGACTCGGCCCTCGACACGCTGCGCGAGCTGTGGGACCTCGGCTACTCGAGCCACGACATCATCAGCACCATGTTTAAGGTCACCAAGACCATTCCTAGCCTCAGCGAGCATACGAAACTGGAGTTCATCAAGGAGATTGGCTTCACGCATATGAAGATCCTCGAGGGGGTACAGACATTACTACAGTTGAGCGGTTGCGTGGTGAGGCTTTGCAAGCTCAACATGGACCCGAAGAAGTTCGAGTTGCCGACCAAATAACCCCATGAATAGATGAAAGAAGGCAAAATCCCAGGTACCAGGAGTCTAGTAGTGTGATACATTGGGAAGAGTGCTAATGAACTGCATGAGCCGGCGTTGGAAAATCGGAAACTTAGGGAGTTGACATACCGAAAGCCACGGATCAGCTCAAGGTATGATGGGGTAAATGTACGAACTTCTTCTACCAGAAAAATCAAACAAAACCCGGGACGAATATTCCATGATTTTGGCGGGTGTCCATCGTCCGCTTATTTTCTTTACTTTTCTCCCCCGTCCTTAGATTCCAAGAACTCCTGTTCGTACCGTTGCCATTTGGCCCTTTCCTTCAGGATGCGCCTTTGCATCCGCATATGAGCCTCATACTCCCGAAGCCGGTAATCAGCCTCGACTACTCCGCCCACAATCATGGCGGAGCTCTGAATATATCTATAGCCCCCTGTCAGCAAACTTGCGACGGACAAGGTAGCCGATGAGGTGAACCGGAGAGGGCCTCGGAAGAAGGACAGTACATTTTGAATTGAATTGTCAATCCCCTATACAAGGGCGAATAGACATGCCCAATCCCTCCAAGCACTGCGAAAAGGGCTCCCCATTTCGCTGCGCCGACGAGACCGCCTCTAGTAGCTGCCCAGGCCGCATTGTCGACATCCTCGTTGTTCATCCAATCGTGCGATCTCATGTTGAAGTCATGGTAGTCACCAGCGGTGACTTTTAACAAACACAAAAGTCGGACAGAAAGTCGGCAGGGATCGAAATGACGATAAACGAGTGAATCGGTGAAAATGACAGTGGCTAATGTCTGGGAGAGACTTGGAACGCGAAGAGTTGTGTGAGGTGTAAGTCCGTGATACAGTGGGTGTATAACAGGATTTATGTCCGGCTATCATCGCGGTAATCGTCGTCTGTAGCTCCCTAAGGTAATATATCCGGGTCACGTGGGGCCATTTCACTTGACCTGACTCGACACCACCTCATTGAGGGTGAGGTATCTCGCATCAAGTCGACGTTCCGTGTCGCGATAATACTGCGAAAATATATCTAATTCCACATGCAATCTGCCTTCAGTCCCTCATGAGGGGATAATACTGGGGACCCGCTACAGCATATTACAACACTAGAATCTCGAAGGGGCCTTCGTCTGAACGGGTTGCCCGGCATCTTTGGATTCCTATAGTTGCGCTCTAAGGGATTAAGACGGGGCGCGAATTGATCCAATGAGTTGTCACAACGTCTCTCCATCATCCATTGAGGAGACGGAAAATGAAATCGCAGAGTTAGAGCGAAGACTCTCGGTCGCTAGGGCGAAACTCAGACCGAAGACTGAGAATCAAAAAACCCATTCCGAACACAGCCAACGTGAGTTTAGAACCATTGAATCACAGCCCGCCTGTCCATGGTGTCCAAGATATACATAGTATCTAAGACTCCACTCCATCTCTCCGTACTCGGCCTAATAACAGACATCCCAGCCCCTACACAATCTGCGCACCATTACCTGCTTCTCCTTTCCGATTCAGCCCTCCCTCTAGGTTCCTTCGCCTTCAGCAGCGGTCTAGAGTCCTACCTCGCACACACCCCTCGCAACCATGCCTCTTTCTCCGCCTTCCTCCCCGAGTCTCTGTCCTCCTACGCCTCGACAACTCTCCCCTTCGTCCTCGCCGCCCACCGCGACCCCGCCGCTGTAGCCGACCTCGACGACGCCCTCGACGCCGCCATCATCTGCACCGTTGGCCGCCGCGCCTCCGTCGCCCAGGGCCGCGCCCTGGTATCCGTCTGGGAACGCAGCTTCGCTGGCTCGCTGCCTGAGGAAGCCGTGGAAACGCTGCGCCCTTATGTGGCGCTCTTAAGGTCAACTGTGGTCGCCTCCAGCCTATCTCCCCACACTCCCACTTCCACTTCCACTTCCTCGTCTTGTTCTTCTTCAAGGTCAGATGCAAAAGATCTACCGCCACCTGTATCCGCCCACCTCGGACCCGTATTTGGCGCCGTCTGTAGACTCGTCGGCTTGACGCTACACCAGACCGCCTACGTGTTCATGTTGAGCCACGTCAAAGCTCTGGTCTCGGCGGCCGTGAGGGCGAGCGTGTTCGGTCCTTATCAGGCACAGAAAGTACTCGGTGGCGCTGACGTGCAGAGGATGATTGTAACACTTATCGAAAGGGAATGGTCGACGCCCGTCGAGGAGGCCGGGCAGACTATGCCCATGATGGACCTCTGGATTGGGAGGCACGAGCTGCTCTATTCTCGCATTTTCAACAGCTAGAGAGTCCGCTGCAGCGGCACGAGAGAAAGAAGGGAAAGCAGCAAGGGCGTCTGGGTATCATGAGTCGCTTCTATATTGTTGATATTCATACAAATTAAAACACCCTCGCATTGCTCGCCTCTGCTCATTCGTCATCTTCGCTGTCATAGGCAACTAATGGTCCGGTAGAAGCTGCAGGTGTAGGTTTCTGGGCAACCGAGACTTTAGCCGTTTGCAGAGCCGCCAGCGTGCTGCTCGAAAAAATGCCCCCCGACTCCTCTTTGGGTTGCTGCTGTTGGGGAGCAATCGGCAGCGAAGACTGCGCCTCCTCGCTGGCAGTGCCGTTCTCGATCATGAGACGCTCGTTATACCCTACTTCATATCCCTGACGCCCGACTGGATTGATGGCATTAGGACCCCTGGCAAAGTAGACCTCGTCGGGCGCTTCGTAGCCTTCTAAGCCGTAACTGCTCTCGATTTTCCTCCGCTTTCTCGCTTCCGGATCCTTGCCCTCCATCTCGGCAATGAATTCAGCTGGCAAGGCTCGTCGGATTGCCTCGGCGGCCTGTTCTTCGATGCGTCGCGCGTCCCGGGCTTTCGCCATCGGGTTGGGATCCACCGTCGCCCACCGAACGTTGAGGACCTCTTCATGGTCAAGTGACTGATGAGCCATGGCCTCCTTGGCAAATTGTGCATTCGCCTCGTTGGTGTACGTGATGAAGGCGACGCCCCGGGTATTGAGAACACGAACTAAGATAAATGTTAGCAAATTTCACGTCAAAAGAAAGGGGGCGAAAAAAGCCTTTTCTTCATCGGCCCAGAATCTTACTTCGCTCAATCTGCCCCCATTCTGCAAAGTGACGCGCAACAATCTCCTCAATGTCATCGGTGACATGTATTCTCCCAACATAAACGGTGCGATTCTGTCGCATGAAACTGCCCGTGCCGCCCATATCATCTCGATAGTCGGCATGCTTGTCACGCCCGAAGCAGTCTACGTTTGGGTTGAACATGTCGTGGATGGTTGGAAGCCGATGCAGGTACTCGCAGTCTTGGCCTTTAGGACAGAGACCCCGTGCGAAAAACAGACAGAAATAGCTGCCCGAAACCCTATCCGCTCGCGTATAGCCGCTGTCCTTGACGATATTGCAGCGGCCTTTGGCGTGTGTCTTGGAGAGATACTTGTCCTCGCGATCGCCACCTAGCAACTGGTCGTCAGCAAATCGCAGTCGATAGAGACGAACAAACCAGAAGAGCAGCCACCTACCGGCCCATTTGTTATACCAAATGTTAAAAGTCGTTCCGGTTTGAGGAGGGATTTCTGTGGTGACCGTTGCCGGGTCGACTTGGGGACGGGCTGGGCGCCTCTTCTTCCGTATGATCTTCTTGACTTTGCGTTCTGTTGCAGCGGCGACCTCGGTCGTGGTAGTCGTCAGAGCCGTCTCTTGTTCTTGGTCCCCCTGCGCGTCATCCTGCGCGTCATCCTGCGCATCATCCTGCACCCGTTGGGCGACAACGGTTTCTCCGTCGGACATGCTTGATGATTACTGTGCCACGTGAAAATCGCCTGTACTGATTGCGCGTCGCTGCGGAATGATAGTTGTTGACGGAGTTGTCTTGACCTGTTTCTTGTTGACCTCAGAGAGAGACAAATGACAAGACCGATGAGGCTGAAAAGTCTTATCGCGATAAGATAAACTAAACTGTGGCGCATTACAGGTGTGGCTTGATTGCCCCTCCAAATGGCAGAAGTGACCTTTGCGGCGCATTAACAGGATCATGAATCAAGAATCGACGAGATTTATTGCTCAAACTTTACTGCTTCAGGAGGGGATTTTACTTGCCTCCTTGAAACTAGTCAATTATCACTGAGGGTGCTAGGTGATAATTTGTCAAGATGGTGAACATCACGGAGAAGATCAAGGAGTAGGGATACCAGACCTCTCAAGTCTCAATGAGGGGCAATATCGCTAACATGCGACTAGGATTGAGGACGAGATGAGGAAGACCCAGAGTAAGCGTTAACCCCTTGTTTTTGGCGTACTGGATAATGTCTTTCGGTGTCTGTTGAGTCAAGGTTGCTTTTCGATACCAGATGCGTGGCGCGAAAAATGAAGACATCCTGACAACAAGTGGTGGCATCGAGGCACTTATCCGGCGTTGCGATTACCCCTCGGGATAGAAACTGGCATGCTAAGATTTTCCAGAGAACAAGGCCACTGGTAAGTTGCTCCCGCGAGCCACTTGATTCCGGTCTAAGACCTGACATTGCTCTCCAGAGTATCATCTGGGTCTTCTCAAGGGGTATGTTGTGCATGAAGGGCGCCAAATCTCAGCAAACGTCTCGCTGACGACCATGCCAGAAAGCTTGCCCGTCTCCGAGCCCAACTCCTCGAACCTGGCCCAGGAGCTGGAGGCGGCGGAGGTTCCGGCTTCGATGTCAGCAAGAGCGGAGATGCACGAATTGCCCTGGTCGGGTTTCCCTCCGTGGGCAAGTCGACGTTCTTATCCAAAGTCACCAAGACGAGATCCGAAGTCGCATCCTACGCCTTCACCACACTTACGGCCATTCCGGGTGTGCTGGAATATGGCGGTGCCGAGATCCAGCTTCTCGATCTACCCGGTATCATCGAGGGTGCCGCCGAGGGCAAGGGTCGAGGTAGACAAGTCATCTCTGCAGCCAAGACGAGCGACATGATTCTCATGATACTGGACGCCACCAAACGCGCCGAACAACGGGCGCTCCTTGAAGCCGAATTGGAATCTGTTGGCATTCGTCTGAATCGCGAGCCGCCGTAAGAACCAACATATAACCTGTCCTTCTTCACCCGTTTCCCGCCCGTTTCCACTCCACCACCCTTCCCAGCTAAGAGGACCCGGCTGCTAACCCCCAAGCCCAGGAACATCTACCTCAAAGCCAAAAAGGCCGGCGGGATGAAAATCACCTTCCAATCGCCGCCGAAGCAGCTCGACGAAAAGATGGTCTTCAACATCCTGCGTGACTACAAGCTGCTAAATTGCGAGGTGCTGATCCGTGACGACAACGCCACAGTAGACGATTTGATCGACGTGATCATGAAAGACCACCGCAAGTACATCAAGTGTCTGTACGTGTACAACAAGATCGACTCGGTCTCGATCGAGTTTCTGGACCAACTGGCACGGGAGCCCTACACGGCCGTCATGAGTTGCGAGCTCGACCTAGGTGTCCAGGATGTCGTGGATCGGTGCTGGAAGGAGCTCAACCTGATCCGCATCTACACGAAGCGCAAAGGTGTGGATCCTGACTTCAGCGAGGCGCTCATCGTGCGGAGCAATAGCACCATTGAGGACGTCTGCGACAAGATTCACCGCACGCTCAAGGAGACCTTCAAGTACGCCTACGTCTGGGGCGCGAGCGCGAGACATGTGCCGCAGAGAGTGGGGTTGAGTCATCCGGTGGCGGACGAAGACGTGGTTTATATCGTGACCGCCTGGAAGGCATAAGTTGTATTCTGATTCACTGGGGGTGGGAAGGGTGAAGGGTTGTGGAGGCGAGATCCGGGGTAGTCGAGGGGGGAAATGGTTGCTGATACTCGGTGATGGTCATGCCCAAGAAATCATGTTATCCCCTAGGGGTATGAAGATATACAGCTGGCCAACAAAACTGATATATACATTAAGGCCTGAAAGAGTGAGCTTCAGCCCAAAGCAAGGAAACAGAACAGAAGAACCCCGCACATTGTTTCGTTTCGTGTCATGACGTTTGTTTTGCAGAGACCCTGTCACCACGCCTTCGCATATTCCAGTCATAAAATCTGGTGCATAATCCCTGAACTCCGATGACCTGAATCCATAGAGAAGATGTTGCACACCCGCCGGTACAAAGAAAAGCATAGAAGGGGACAATGGTACCAAACAATCAGTTCTCTGAACACCGTGCCCTTGCCCGAATATCCCTCCCATACCATTCCTACTTTTGTCATGAAGCACAACCTAAATAACGAGGATCAAAAACTCGCCTAGGGTGTGCTGTCAGGCTTGGTAGGGGAGGGAGACTTCGCGCCAAAGAGGGGCTCGCCGTCGAGCTTCTTAGACGAGGCTTGAGCGAAGAGTGACTTGGGCTTGGCCCTACGGCAGAGGTCCACGTCAGTTTTCCCTTCTTCAACGGTGACAACCTGTGGCAGACGAGTCGGAAGGGGGAAAAGGTATACGTACTTGCCAATCTTCTTGTTACGGAAAGCGTTGAGCTTGGCGGTACAGGGGCTCATGATGTTGTCCGAGGGCGAGATATATTGCTTAGTCCTATTAAGGGAATCGAGGGTTAGACCGGTGGTCCGAGGAAGATGGGTTTGGTTCTTGTTCTCGTCCTGGGCGGCTCCGCTATGGATGCTGCGAGGGTGGTGGGTAGTAGTTTGATGCTCGTACTTCTCCTCTGCTATCTTGTTCTGGAAGACCTGGCGGTGATATTCCATGCTCTTAACATTGGATTTGTCCAAGGGATCGGCGACCATGCTGGTTTGTACGGGCGCATTGACGTCCTTGTCAGAGAGGGCGTGAAGGGGCATTGCGAACGATTGCTTTCTGTCTTGCTTTGTTGCAGAATTGGTATTGCGCTGATGAAGGTAAACCCTTTTAGTTTAGAGACCGGTTGAGTTAAGCTGACTGCGCGCAAATGGAGTTGTCGGTCCAAAGTAGGAATCAATCGTTGATGTTTATGTGTGGAGAGATGATGGAATCTGAGAGATAGGATTGTGATGCAGAAGGTATAGGGGGAGAATCTAGTGTTTTAATACGCAAAAAAGCGACATTAAGGCAGCAAAAATATATCCCTGACGTGGTGTGAAAATACTCACAAGGGTCAAGGGCGATATACGCGGTTGAGGTGCAGTGACGAAAGTAAACGGACTTTTTTCCTACCCCCGTCGGCAGGGCAACCAACATGGTAGAGGGTGGGGTGTAATTAAAGTTGTACCTGTGATGTGGGTGGTGGCCACCCGCTTGAAGGTGGAATGTGCGGTCGCCCTTGATGCCTTCCCTAACTCCATTCAGCAGGGAACATCCAGGTACTGTACAAAGTACATCCGTTGTTGACTCATTGAACAGCGAAGGGATAGGGGATGGTCACCATCCCTCGGTTCTGTGTATTAATTGCTGCTCTCGCACATGTATTCGTAGGACGGCATCGACTGACCACGTCAGTAGCCAGCTTTGCAGACCCCTGCTCAAGTGTCAGTCAACAAAGGCCAGTCGAGTCCATTGGAATGGAAGCTTCTGAGATCCTCTTCCGTCCTCCCTCCGAGGCCATCACCAAGGCGACGAAGTAGCACGGAGTACGGATACCGAGTAGGTATCTATATCCGTAAATATTCCCCTTTCCGTTGCATGACTTGAAAGATTTTAATGTTAGACGAGCTGTGTTCCAGCCTCGAACTTGGGTACAACCACCGGCGGACAATCACTTCAATCCGTCTCTTCAGTTTGCGAATACATGATGTGTCTATTAAAATCCGCAAAGAGACTCGAATATCAAGAACAAGCCGTTATTCTGAACCCCAGAATCCGGTCCTTTACAGTTTCGAGGCATGACGAATCCTGGTGCCCGGCTCCGCGGGCAACGTCTTCCACAACTTCATCAGCTCCTCCGTCTTGGCCTTTTGTCGCTGAATCGACTCCGTAATATCCTTGGCCCTCTTGTTCTCGTTTCTTCCCATCTGCCGTAGGTGCACCTCGTCGGGGCCGTCCGCCAGTCTCAGGGTCCGGATGCCGGCCCACATGGCGGCTAGAGGGGTGTCCTGGCTCACACCTGCTCCGCCGAACGCCTGGACTGCCCGGTCGATGACTGTGAGTCCCGTCTGGGGCACGATGATCTTCGCCTCGGCGATTTCCCTGAGCGCCTTCTTGGGACCAAGCTCGTCCATCTTGATGGCCGCGTTGAGCACAATTAGACGTGCCGCATCGATCTCGAGCCGAGATTTGGCCACCCATTCGAGGATGACACCTTGCTCGCTCAGCAGCTGGCCGAACGGCTTCTTGGCCGGGTCGTTGGCGCGCATGATCATCCATTCAAGAGCTCGCTCAGCCTACAAGAAGAAAGTATGGTGTAAGCAAAGTGAAAAGAAGGAAAACGAAAACGAAAAAAAACGAAAAAAAAAAAAAACCGAAAAAAAGAAAAAAAAGGAAAAACCCCCAAAAAAAAGATGGGCCAGGTTCGGGCTTGAACACTTACGGCTCCGATGGTGCGCATCGCGTGATGGATACGGCCCGGTCCAAGTCGGCCCTGGATGATTTCGAATCCGCGTCCCTCGCCAAGAACGAGGTTGCTCGCCGGGACGCGAACGTCCTTGAAAGTGATGTGGCCATGCCCATGAGGAGCGTCGTCGTAGCCATACACGGAGAGCATCCTGTGGATGGTGATGCCCTTGGTAGTCGAGGGGACCAAGATGACTGACTGCTGCTTGTACACGTCCTTGTTGTGAGGATCACTCTTGCCCATGACGATATAGAGGGCGCAGCGGCGATCACCCGCGCCACTCGACCACCATTTCTGGTCAAGTTAGTTTACCATTTCGGATTCCAGTGCCATACATCTTCACATAAGCAAAGAGGTCCCCGCTTACCGAGCCGTTGAGAACATATTCATTGCCTTCTCTGCGGATTTCCAGCTGAATGTTGGTGGCATCCGACGAGGCGACATCGGGCTCGGTCATCAGAAAAGCCGAACGAATCTTGCCGTCCATCAAGGGCTTGAGCCACTGGGCCTTCTGCTCCTCGTTGCCGTACTTGGCCAGGACCTCCATGTTGCCCGTGTCCGGAGCAGAGCAGTTCACAGCCTCGGATGCGACCTTGGACTTGCCCAGCCACTCCGCCATGAGGCCATACTCGAGGTTAGTGAACCCAGGGGACTCCTTGTAGTGACCCTTGGGTAGGAACATGTTCCAGAGACCGAGTTTCTTGGCTTTCTCCTTCAACTCCTCGAGAATGGGAGGGTGGCTCTCCCATCGCGCATCGCCCACACCAACCTGGGATTCAAACACAGGGTCCGCCCTGTTGAGTGGGTTAGGGAGGTTCGTGTCAGTTACCACCATCAGGTAAAAGAAAAGCCGGAATCAGGATGGATGAGCTTACGGAATGCATTCTTCCTCTACAAATTTGGCCACGACGTCTAGAGTCTGCTTCGCGCGATCGCTGAGGCGATCCAGCACCTGGTTTGATCGTTAGCCCATATGCCGAATTCAACGGCAAGGTCGCGTTATCAAGCCGAAGATCAACTCACGATGGTGGGCACTTTGGACGTCATAATGTGAAACTTTGTCTATGAGATACGCTCCCAGAATAATTTCTGCGTCTTACTGTAAACCAGAACTGAAGATGAATGAGTGTGGGAGTAACCAATCTTTTGGCTCACAGAAATGGTCCTGAGCATGGTCAAGCTGTCTGGGTACAGCACGTTACATGGGATGTTCCTTAGGCGAGGGAGCCGAGGTCCCCAGATGTGGGGATATTCCGGGGTAGGGCCGGTGGGAACCGAGGCGGTCGGAGGTCAACCGCGGGGGATCACTATTCAATTGTACCTTGTGCACAGTAAGGTGAGGCACTTGTCATTGCTCTTAGAGGTACCTACCTACATAAGGGACAGGCTGGGCAGCTTACACCCATGGAGCTACAGTACCTTACCCCCTGATAAGACGACTCTCGTCCCATAATGGTGCGACACAGGGACGACATCCCATGCCCATCTCGTTGCTGGTTGTGACCAAGATTGCGTATTATGTTCCAGTCGCTCGGTACCTACGGGGACACGGAAAGGCGAAATGTCAGCCTGTCGGTGTATCTCACACCGACATCCATCAGTCAGCAACTCGGGACTCGACCGGTATCGGTCATGAAATTAAATAGGTCTTGAGATTGGACAGAAGACTCTCTTAGGATGCTACGTCTTATTAAGGTTGCAATAGATCCTGTTTAATTATTGGTTTGTATGTGCTATATTGGGCTTTTGTTTAACGAATTCCGCCATACCTTGTTGATAAATTTCAGTTGCGAGACGATGCAAGACTTCCGGTTCACTGTAGTACCGACTTCCTCTTCGTCCGGTCTCTCCCAGCGGCCTCATTGATATCCAAGCAACTCATGTCCGGTAGTCGCCGTTGATCGTGATATACTCATGGCTGTAGTCGCAAGTCCAATAGGTAGCCTCCTTACCACCAGTCCCAAGCCGGACCAAGATCTCCAAATCCTCCAGCTCGAGGATCTCCGAAGCCCGCGACTCGTCCACCAACTCCGGCTCGCCGTTGACGAGAAGCTTCAGCTCCGCGGTGCCGTCTGTCGGGATGAAAGACACGTTAGTATTTTCGGGAATAATCTCTGGGACCTCGGCAACGGCGTGGCCGGGTTCCGAAATCAGAGAGTATCCCGTCGCGCACAGGATGCGTCCCCAGTTAGCGTCCCTCCCGTACAGCGCCGTCTTGACGAGGGGCGACCGGGCAATCGTGCTGGCAATCTTCCTCGCCGCGTCCTCGCTCGCCGCTTCCGTCACGCGGATCGTCACGAACTTGGTGGCGCCCTCTCCATCGCGGACGATCAGCTTGGCCAGGTCGACGGCAAAGTCCGTAAGCACCTCCTGGAACGCCGCAAAGTCGGGGGAGTCCTCGGAGCGGATCTCTTTGCCGCCCGCGGCACCGTTGGCCAGCAGGGCCACCGTGTCATTGGTCGATGTGTCTCCGTCGATGGTGATGCTGTTGAATGACCGGTCCACTGCTTGCTTCAACACCGTAGGCATGACTGTGGGCGAAATGGGTGCGTCGGTGGCTGCCACGCCGAGCAGCGTCGCCATGTTGGGATGGATCATGCCCGCGCCTTTGGTCATGCCTGCGATCCTGTACTCTACCCCGGGCGATGATGGCAGGGTAAACGTCTTAGACATGAGCTTGGGGAAGGTGTCCGTGGTGCAAATCGCCGTTGCGCAGGCCAGCCAATCTTTATGAGAAGATCCCAATACGTCGTGAGCGGCAGGTACATTCTTAATAATTTTGTCGATGGGCAGCCTCTGGCCGATGACACCCGTGCTCATGACAATCGTTGATGACCCATCCTCGCTGTTCCCCACGGTCTCATCGGCTGCCCGCGCCATCAGGGACGCATCCTCCAGACCACCCTTCCCGGTGACCGCATTGGCGCATCCAGAGTTAATAAGTACGCTCCGGATTCCTTGATTGCCCTTCTTCTTCAGTACATCGCGACTGAAGGTGACTGGTGCCGCCTGGAACTTGTTCTTCGTGAACACCGCTGCGGCTGCACAAGGCCGATCCGAGCTGATCAAAGCGAGATCGGGCTTGGTCGTGTTACCAGGCTTGACTCCGACCAATATACCGGAAGCCTTGAACCCCAGAGGATATGTCCCTTCGGAGGGCACATACTTCTTTTTAGCAGCGGGTATACTTTCAGCAGCGACTGAATAGCACCGAACGAAACGAGTCAATTGACTCGGGAAAACGTTGAGAGAACCAGGCATTCTTTTGGGAATAATCTGCGCCACCGAATATGGGACTAGTAAGAAACGCAATGCATCCCCGACCGATGCCAATGGCTGGCTAATTGTAAAAAGTCGGTCGAGAGGTATGTGACTCGTCTCAGGAGAGTCAAACTGGTGACTGTCACCCTCTGGAAATTATCAGACCGAAACCGGGCTCGCGCTTATCGATAAGGTTATCGGACCTCGAAATTGTTATCTTATCACCATCTTTCCCATGCAGAAAAATTCCCATCCTGCAACCGCGCGCACCCATCAGCCTCCCATTGCGACCACGACGAGCTCAATCCTTCGCCATGGCGCCTTCAAGAACAAAGACAGTGAAAAACAAGCATGCCGGAAGTAAGGCAGTACAGGGAAAACACGCCAGCAAGAAACCCGGCCCGCCCGATGGCATCGTCAAGGCGAAGAAGATAAAGGGCACCCCGCCAGCCAAAACGGCCGTGGGGAAGCAAATCGTCAAGCTCCTGGAGAAGCGCAAGAAGAACAGGAACAAGACCTACACGGACGAGGAACTCGGCATTCCGAAGCTGAATAAGATCACGCCCGTTGGTGTGCAGAAGCCCCGCGGCAAGAAGAAGGGCAAAGTCTTCGTCGATGACAGAGTAAGCTCCAACCTCGACAGCTGGGGAAAAGCATAAGGGGGAGGAAAGAGGGGAGGGCGCGGGATGGAGGTTGACTAACAATCTGATGCAGGAGAGTATGACTACGATTCTCGCCATGGTGCAGGCGGAAAAGGAAGGGCAGATCGAATCCAAGATCATGAAGGCGAGGCAGTTGGAAGAGATCCGAGAGGCGCGAAAACTAGAGGCCGAGAAGAAGGAGGAAGAGAAGAAGTCCAAACTCGAGGAGGTCAAGGATAACCTGAGGAAGAAGAGGAAACGAAACAAGACCACCCCGAAAGACGAGGACAACGTCAACGAGCTTACATCGACTGGGACCAAGGCCACGAGGCCGAAGAAGAAGGTATCATTCGCCTAGGGAGGTCCTGTGTCTGCGAAGCATGCTGGGATGACAAAATGGGGGTGTCAATTGATCTGGGTAGGCTTCATTCACTCTTCGGATTATGGATTATGCACGGCGTTTGTGGACAGGACAAAATGCTCTTTCAAGTTGTAGTGAGATCAGGCGTTCAAAGTACCTTATATACCACAATCGTGTGTCATTCATGGGTCTCAAAATACCCCATGTACCTCAGGCCAAATGGTCCTGAAGAGGGAGAAATCTATCAGTGATATATGACTGCTTCTACGCCACGATCCTGTTGACGCCTATTGCGTAACCCAACACTTGATGAATGCTGGAGTGGCCGGTATGCCACGTATCTATATTTGTGATAACTGGACTCGAGGTCGGAGAACTTCACTGAGTGGTCCTGACTGTATGCATCTTCCGCTTGACTGGGTCGAATCGAGTCTCCTTCCAGAGACCGGGTACAAAGTCGTCCTTGGGATTGAAGCTGTCCAGGTCCACTTCGAACGCCATGTAATTCAAAAAGTTGGGTACCTGGATTTCAGTGAGCCCAGATTTTCCCCCAAGATATCCATCATACCTTTTACACCAGGGAGGGCGTATGCTTACCGATTTGGAGTGCCATCGACCACCTCCAAGCTCAAACCAACACAGATGGCCCCCCAGAGATGTGGTACACAGAATGGTATAAGGGTTTTGTTTGAACTCGTCATACGGAATAGTTTCCTGTGGCACGATCTACCGAAAAGTCAGCTTATCTTCAGATGCGGGTCGTCGGTAACAATATGAAGGTCACGCACAGGATCATCCTCGGAAGTCAGTGCAAGGAATGGGATTCTGATGGCGACCAAGGCATCGCACGAAGAAGCGTCGCGATAATAGGCATCTTCCGTCGGGTATCCCCAGGTAGGACATCTAGAGTAATTTAGTCGACCAGAAAATCAGATATCACAGGTCCTTCGTAACCAGATACTTACTGCACTTCCCTGTCAAACTCGTATAAGTACGTGCAGTTCTCGATGTTGTTAAAGTTAAGCTGGGTGTATTTGGACAGCGTGTTCTTGTGGCCCAGAATGAGTTCTTTCATGCTCGCTATGATCTTGTCAGCATCATGATGAGAATACTGTGTCACACTGCTGGGTTATTACTGACTTCCCATGACTTTCTGGTACACTTCGTTGCCGAGGAAGGACCGCTTTAGCGATTTGCAAGCTGCTTCCAGGTTGAAAGGGGTCGAGCAAACGACGGCGGCCTTCAAGAGACAGTCTGCTCCTTCTTCGCCGCAGTACTACGTGACGTTCAGCTTAGGCTCTCTTGGTCTTACGGGTCCTGCGCATTAGGCTTACGTTTGTCAACATGTTCGCTCCCAGGGAAAAGCCAAGGCCGAAGAGTGGCCGGTTGGGAAATTTCTCGTGCAGCCACTTGACGACCTACAACATGAATTGTGGTTAGCAAATCTAGTTCCGTCTTGGTTGTGTATTCGTTGACATCTGGCTCACTTGACGTATGTCCCATGTGGCCCTGGCGTTGTACAAGACGCCGCTGGTAAAGGCGCTCTTGGCACAACCCCGCGAGTTCACGACGCAAACGTCCCACGCTCTGTCCGCGACCAGAGGGGCGATAGCATGCCGTAGATAGATCTCGTGCGATCCACCGGAAAGACCGTGAAGTACGACCAATTGAGGTCTTGTGTCGTCAGACCCTAGGTTCTCAAGCTCCTTCTCGTTGAAATAGACTGTCCTCGGGGGTAAGGAGTCGTTGGTCTCCTCGAAGGGATCTGTGGCGAAATCGACGGCGAAAGTACCGTGAAAATCATCGTTATCCGCATCGAAGATCTTCCGCTTGTAATACAGAGGCGGTCCATGCTGCTTCGTTGCTGTCCAGAAAGTCTGCATGTGGCCATTGAACAGGAGGGGGTTCAGCTGGCATGGCGGGATAACCTTTTCGCAGACGTTCCGCAAGTCCGTCTTTTCGCCGTCTTTCCTTTTGAGAGGTAACGGCGTTGGGGCGTGGGTGAGGCCTATCCTCGCCCGGCCGAGCCACTCCATGGCGCTCAAACGGCGAGCTAAACGTGCCAGGACTGGAAGGACGTTGACGGGCCGTGTCGAGGACGACGCGATGATAAGCAACGCGAGTAGGTAGGTTCAGAATCGAAGGCAATTTGTCGAACACTGCAATGATACAGATACCGACAACGACAGGGCATGTAGGTGAATAGCATAATCAGGGAAGTTTAATCGCAACGATAGTTTCAGAATCTGCTGGGCCCCTACGCGAGATATGGGCCATTTGACGGGTCCCATGTGAAGATGGGGCGGAAGACCCAGGATTCGTTATTAGCTCCGGCCGAGAAATGAACTGGATCGTTCGGCCGAGGCCAGCCCACTACCTGAGGAAGTATATGAGTAAAACAGTCCCAAAAGGGACGTCTGAAGGTGGCTTGCATTCATCGGGCCGTTATCCGCTTTGAGTATAGAATGCGAGAGTGGAACAGCTCAAGAGACAAACCAAATCTCGTATTACCTACGACTCGGAAAGCAGAGCACGCTCAGGTTCCGTTCTGGTACCTACCCACACGATAGGTACATGTACAAAGTGCGGATACGGATCTGTGATGAAGGTTGTGCAGAGGGGATATTCGTGCCGAGGCGATTGCCTTTTTGTATATGTAAATCGGGATCTCGATTAGTAATTATCACGCTGCACCGGTGATATGGTCGCCAGCAGTGGCGGGATTCGTGATGGTTGTCTAAAGATACAAAATTCCTGGGATCCCTCTAGGTAAGGTAGACACGAAATACGGACAAGAGCTGGTGAAATTATTCGTATTCCGTAAGGAAAGTCCTTGTGCCAAGACTTAAGATAAGAACTCGCGAAATGGAGGTTGAAAAAATAGCGAAAAGACGGAGAACCGAGCGGTTGGAATGATGACACTCGGTGGACCTTGAGCTGAACCGGATCAAGGAAAATCGGAGACGGAACAAATAAATCGCCGTTCGCGAATCGTGGGTCTGGACAAGGATGAGTCGATGGAACGAGTCGTGCTGTTGGCGCCATTCACCAGCGTCGAAACGTCGCGTGGGATTTCGCGATATGGCTCTGGTGTCCATAAATCAAACTTCTTTATTTTTTCAAGTGTTTGTTGGGCCATTCGTCAAGCCTTTAGAAACGGAAAGATTCTGGAACATCAGGCTTCAGTGATATCATCCGGTCCCTACAAATCTCGGTCGAACATTGCTTAAACTCGCGATTCGACAACCATCGTTTCTTTGGGCTCTCCGGAGTCGACCCGCCTCGTCGCGATTTGACGCGGTATCTCGTATGCCCCGTCTCGAACGATGCCGTACCCGGGCTCGCTGCCCCCGGGGCAGTTCTTCAACGGCCAGCAGCCTCAATACCCAGCTTCGAATGGTTACGGGCAAGGCCAAAACCCGCAACACGCATACGCGCCACATACGGAACCTTTCCCGCATCTACCTCCGCCGCCGCACCAGCCAGTCCAGCCAGCAAACCCGCCTCTCCAACCACAACAACAGCAGGCGCGACCGGTTCAGTACCCACAAGCGCCGTCCAGCGCTCCTGCCTCCGCCATGAACTTTGCCAGCTCCAGTGCGAATATGACGTCCATCCCTCCTGCTGACCTGGGACACTTCGACACCCCCCCCTCCTTTACCGATAGCGGCGCCTTCGATTCTCGACATTTTAACCCGACTGTCGCTTCCTCGCCCTCCCACTCTTCTGCCCTCGTCCCATCTCCAGCTCCCAGCTCTGCTCCCGTTCCCGCACAATACATGCGCGGGTCTTTCCCCATTCAGCAGCTCAACCACTCCACGGCACCCGGCGTCTACCCCGGCTACCACCAGCACATGTCGCTTCAACAGGGCGCCCCTCAATATTATGCCCATCCCCAATACAGCGCTACCGTGGGTCACGGCCAGAGCGTACCTGTCCTCAACCGACCGAGCTACCCTCAACAGCAACGGATGATTCCCCCGAGCCCTCAACCTGGACCCCATGGCACTGATACCGGTTCCCCTCGCCCGCAGAATTCCCCGGCGGTTCCTCCAAGCACGGCAGTCCGAACCCATGCCCAAGCGATCGGCGGATCCCCCGGTACAAGATCACCGAGCTTACCGAAAAGATCTCCTGCCATCCCCCCACGGCACTCGCCAGCTACCTCGTCTCGATCTTCCTCGTCGCTCCCTGCGAAGCCCCCCACGTTCGATACACCTGTGGTACTAGTCAAAATCGCGGAGGAGTGCTTCCATAAGGCTTATATGTCTGCGGACGCTGCCCCGTCAACAACCGAGGCGCAAGTTTGGGAACACCAAAAGCTCATTTCCACCGGACTAGCTTGCCTCGAAGCTGCCGTGCATAGTAACAAGCTACCGCCAAGACAGGAGGCGAAGGCGAGGCTGAGATACGCGTCAATACTGTACGAGGAGACGGAAAATCTACAGGAGGCCGAGACAACTCTGTTTCAGGGGATAAAGCTTTGCGAGAAGGTAGCCTCTAACACTCCAAAGGTACTCTATTTGCGTACCCATATCATCCGTGCTGACCGCTGCATAGCACCGATACACCGACTTGAGATATTGTTTGCAATTTATGTCTTTGAAAGTTCTATTTCAGCGCAATCAGAAAGCCGCTTTCATAGCCCTGGACAAGCAAATAGCGGAATGTCAAACGTGAGACCTTTCTCCCCTCCCCTCCCTCTTCTACTTCTCTCCTCCACCGTCTTTACCGGAGCCAAGATTCGGCGCTGACTTGGCGACAGGTTCAAACATATTCCGTGGGTGTATGCCTTTCGCCTCCTGAAAGCTACGTTGCAGACGTATGCGGGGAACTCAGTCGAGATCGCTCTTCTCGATAACCTTCAAAGCTTATCAACTCTTGCGCATGAAAGAGGCGATCATGCTGTCGGTGTTTTGGGCTCGCTTCTCGAAGGTCTTGCACACCTGCGAGTGACGAAACAGGATACTGTGGAGCGAGTCCAGACATGTCTAGCGCAGGTCGCGAAGTATCAGTTGGATCCTTTTGTCCAGGTTCTCCAACTTGACGTTCTGACATTGTTGCTGGATCTGGCCTGCAGCATGCACCAGAAGAACCCAGACCTGTTAGTCCACAAACTCTCGGCTCTGCAATCGAGGATGGACGCCGGCTTAGACTCAAAGGAGTGGGCGGATGGCGTCGCCGAAATGCGCATTCCCCTAAAGAAGCAGCATTCCTCCTACCACCTGATCAGCGACGACACCGGCGCTATTCTCCAAGCGGGCTCGCTTGATGAGGGGAGAGACTTTGTGGTCATGTCGTTTCTGACAAGAGCGGAATTATTTGCTCTTGTGTAAGCAACCCCCCCAAAGCATATCTCTCGGATTCCTCGTTTGCTGACAGTTGCTCGTGTAATAGGTACACTTTTAGTGGTCTTGCATCCTTGTACAGGTTTCATCACAATCCCGCGAAGGTCCAGAGGAAGAGTTCTGAGCTCTGGGAAGAAGGGCTCAAAGTCATTCAGCAACGTACGTTTTGTCTAATCCAGAAGATGAAATCCAACACTAACTCATGCCTGAAAGTGGCGTCAGTTTCAGAGGCGGGCGCTGTGACGGCAACTGTTTCGCGACACGAATCCATCCGGCAGGCCAAGTGGCGGACAGAGATGTTCTGCTACCTGCAACTGCTGACCGGCTTGTACTGCGCGACCCAGAGCAGATGGTCCGTCGTCGACCAATGTCTGGTGAAGCTTCAGAAGGCGGCAACTCAAACACCCAACGACATATTCAGTCTCTGTTGTCTTTACCTCACGGGCGTATATCATCAAGGGACAGGAGACTTGGAGACGGCACTGCTGCTCTTCCAGGACTCCCGATTCGATATCGACTCGACTCTCAGCGCCGGCGGCGGTAGGAAGCCGGCACTCCTCGAGTTATGCCTTCTCGCTGCCCTGAACCGGCTGTGGATATTGCAAGCTCCCGACTTCCGCGATGACACCACGACTTTGGCGCTCTTGGAAAAGGTTCGACCCATTTGTACAGAGCACCACGATCCAGAGATCCGGACAGCATTTCATCTTGTGCAGGCCACGACGCGGACGAATCAGCCAGTATCGATGCAGGTGATCAAGACGAGTATCCACTCTGCTGTGCAAACCTCGAAACAGATCGGCAATACGCATTGCCTTGCAATTGGTCTGAGCATCATGAGATACCAGCTTTTCGACAACGTTGTCGGGGAACAAGCCCTGAAAAGCGCAAAGGCAGCCTCTGCACAGTCTAAACGGAGCGGCAACCTTCTATGGATGAGTGTTGCCGATGGGATGCTTGCGCACTCGTACGAAGTTCAGGAGCAGATGGCAGAGGCGCAAGCGGCACAAAAGGCGGCTTCAGAGTATGCAGCGAGGGCTTTGATTGGCAAGAACTAGTACTTAGTCGGACATTGCTGGATCACGGAGTATATGCATTGGTGTTGGGGCTCTGTTATCATCTGTTTATGGCGCAAAATACCCATCTGCTTCTGTATATTTAGGATGGCTGGAGCTATGCTAGGTACCTAGGGTTCATGCGGCGTTTGGGACGATGCGAAGTACGGAGTACAAGTTGTGGGAGGTGTCAAAGGATAAGGTAAGGTACCTTACGATTCTAATCCACGTATTGGGAGATTGTTGACGACCGATACCTCATGTTCCCGTGGCATGGAGAGAAGTGGCTGACCAATGTAGCTACACTTACGGATACGTGCTCGTGAATTTGAATATGGTCGGAATCTTCGACCAAGGTCGGTTCCGTTCAATATTAGTACCTACCTAAGGTAGCCACCTAAGTACCTTAGGTACCTACACGGAGACTTTGGGGACTATGGTTATTCCGCGTCCCGCTCCCAGCAAACGCCAGTGCCTTGGCATCCATCAAAGCTTACCTTTTCCTGAGATGAACTTTTCGATCCATCATTATGTGAGAAATCCAACGAGCAAAAAAAAAAAAAGAGAGAAAAAGTCCAGGACGCGTTCAACCCCGTTGCTGTCCGCAATCTCACCTCTGCGGCCACGACAATGCTTCGCCTGCATAATAGAGCTCTTGGGAATCTCCAATCACGATACGTTTGTTCAACATGCCTTGTCCGGACTCTAGACCAACGGACAGCATGGCATTCGCAATCTCAGGGCTTTGCCTTGTCGCATCGCGTCTACTCAACCGAAAACTCAAATGCGGTAGATGAGACTGAATCTACTCCAGCTGCGGCGGCGCCAAACCCTCGAAAGCCCAGAGCTCGTCGAAGAAGAAAAGAAAAACCGACACCGACACCAACACCGACACCGGCATCGACAACGGAGACCTCGCAAGAAGGCGGAGCAAGCCCGGAAATCGTCCACCAATTGTTCTCCTCCTTGAAGAAATTGGAGCAGAGCTATGCGTCTATAAACAAGAAACTCGCCAACTTGCAAGAGTCTGGTCCGAATGCGCAGTCCCTCGGGTCGCCTCAATCGGGTTCAGAGACGCCCGGCAATGAGCCCACAGACTTGTTCAAGTTGCAGACCAGAAAGCTCGGGTCTAGACTGAAGATAGTGTCTGGCACCCTGGACGTTCTCAAGAGCGTCCTAGAGTCGCAGCATATACCAATTGAAGGCTTGAGGAAAAGGTCGAACCAGGAGAAGGAGACGTCACCTCCAGTCGTCGCCCAAGCCGACAAACCCGCAGACTCACAAGCACGCGCTGCCGAGACACCGAAAGCTGAAGCGACCAAACCGAAGAAGCCGGCGAAAAGGACGAAATTAGGTCTCACTTCAAGGTCCGATGCGGCGAAAGATTCAGCTACACCTGCGTTCCACCCTCCGGCGGAGCAGACAGCGGATGCTAGCGTAACCACGCTGGCAGGACGTCTGAGGCAAAACCTCCAGCCAGCCGTATCCTCCGCAATTTCGTCCGGCCTAGCGTCGTCCGTCGCGCCCGCCGCATCAGCGAAGCCTGCTACGAAGACCCAGACCCAGACCCAGACCCAGACCCAAAAGCCGGGCCCGAAATCGTCAAAACGACATAAAGCACCGTTGAGTGTTCAAGTAGTGAGGGCGAACAAACTGGAAATGGTGCCCGTGGAGAGGCCGGGGGGGCCGGAGGCTCCCGCCCTAGCCCATGGACTTGATCGAGTGTTGTTCAACCCCGGCGTCTACCACCTGCAGGATCCTAGGTCGCGGGTGTACAACTTTGACCCTTACCTATCCAGGATCATGCCATTGAGCGAATTCGACTTCAGCGCTCTGAAGCAATACGTCACCTCTTCGAAAGACTCGACCCTGCTGGAGCTCGCCTCCAAGCTCGGCAAGAAATATAGCGGTTCGACGTCGAGTATGACGGCGATGCTCTCTCACTTCCACTACCTCCTTTCCGCCTGGCGGCCCGTCAACCCCAAAGACCTGAGCAGAAACCTCGAGCCGGACTATACCAGCTTTACCCAGATTCTCCGTGCGCCGGCCGCGACGTTCTTGCATCATCGCGATGGAGTGTACGCCATTGACGCCGACAAAGAGTTTGACTCGGCCAACATCCTCAGCATGCTCGGGAAGTCTATGGAGAAGCTTCTGACCCTCCCGAAAGAAGAGTTTGAACGATACCGTCACCAGAATTCAGATCAGATTACCGAGGAGGAACGCAACGCCGAGGAAGCCTTCCACTTTTCCACTTTGGGAGACTTCCTGATGCGATCGCAATTAGATGCTTATGACAAGAGGCTACCCGGTACGGGCATGTTCGACCTCAAGACCCGAGCCGTCGTCTCCATCCGTATGGACGCCCGGGGCTTCCATAAGGGCCTGGGTTATGAGATTCGACGCCGCTTTGGACAATGGGAGTCTTTCGAGCGAGAGTACTACGACATGATGAGGGCTGCCTTCCTGAAATACTCGCTGCAGGTCCGCATGGGCCGCATGGACGGCATCTTTGTCGCTTTCCATAATACACAACGCATCTTCGGCTTCCAGTACATCCCCTTGGAGGAGATGGACAACGCAATCCATGGGGTCAACGATCGCAATCTTGGCGATCAAGAGTTCAAGTTGAGTCTGCACTTGCTCAACAAGGTCTTCGACCGCGCAACGGAACGGTTCCCCGGGCGGACACTCCGGATCCATGTGGAAACGCGCCCTGGCGACCCGCCTTTCATGTATATCTTTGCCAAGCCCGTTGTGCCCAAGGAAGTGGAGCAAGTTCAGAACGCCAACCAGGCTGCTGTTGCCGAGTTTGAGCGCCAGCTTCTCGGCCTCGAACAAGCGGAGGCGGAGGCGACCGAGACACCTGACCTGGAGGGTGAGCAATCCTTGGGCCTCGACGAGGAAGAAGTTACTCTCACCACCGAGGCCAAACGGAGGACTGTAGCATTCTGGGAAGAGATGCAGGACAAGGTAGAGGAGGCTGTGGAAGACGATGCGCTTGGTGTCAGCCACGTTCGGGATGCCATTCAAGACGCCCTCGAGCAGAGCGGCCTGCTAAAGGCCAGGTCTCCCGAAGAAGCCCAAAATTACGTCCAGGCTCTGCTTGATGCCCTTACTGGAGGAGATGCCTCGGAGAATGCCGCCAGTGCGCCGAAGACAGAGGAGGAGCCGTCCACTAGTCCTGAGGCGGCGGCCGTGGATACCTCGCAGGCTGAAACTCCAGCGACGTCAGAACCAACATCTTCGGAGACTGCCGGGGACAGCCTGTCTCCATCTCCGGAGTCTTCCTCTTCTCGCTCGTCCGATCGCAGCCTGAAGGAGCTCATCCTTCGTGTTGCTGAGCGAGTGGACGAGAAGGCGGACTCGGACGGCCCAATCCAGCAGGTATCCGACGACGTCGCCTCAGACACATCGAAGCTGCGCGAGTTCGAAAGAATCCTCTCCCAATTAGTGGAAACGTCCCGGGTATCAGGGACCGAAACCAGCTCCGCCTCTGCGCGCCCTGATGAAGGCAATGTTCCGCAGCCGACGTCGTCTCCGACCACCCACGCTTCCACGGCGTCTGAAACAGCCAAACCCACGGACAAGTCAGACACGAACGCACCAGAAGGCGCGGCGTCCTCTGCAGAAGAATCATCAGCCACACCCGAAGAGCCCGAGGAACCCGAAGACGAGATTCTGGGAATGCATCTCATGGTCCGGAACAAGGTCAATGGCGAGTACGTGGACCGGCCGGACGGCACCGTCCCCAACCTCCGCTGGACCGTGGAGTATTCCCTCGAGGAGATCCCGACCAAGAAGGCCAGGAAGATCTACAAGGCCATCCAGGACCGGCGGAAGAAGGCCCTGCAGTCCGACAGCATTGAACAGGACAGGCAGTGGTATCATATGTGGAAGGGCAAGCTGGCGCAGCTCAGCGCGCGGGGACGGAGGTTCCGGGAGAGACAGGAGGCGAAGGGTCGCAAGGAGCCGGTGCACGTAATGGACGTGCAGGAGCCCCTGACGTGGGAGGAGGCGTTCGCGCACCATGAGCAGTGGGGGACGAAGAAGGAATAGGGGGGACGACGTGAACGTGGCAGAGGGCACCGAGTTGACCTGGCGGACGAATCCTTCGTATCCACCTCCGCCCCAGGGCTGAGGTGATGGAGCGATCAGTGTACTACTACTTGTCGTCCATTTCTAACTGTACCACTAGGAAATGTAACATACCCGGTCATAATGCCTTCGGTGGATGACAACACTGTGAGAGACATGCGATAGATTTATTTATTTACTTGCTTTTCCTTTTTTTTTTCCGCTAATTCCATGGACGATATATTAATGTTCAAATGTTCTTCCATTGTCGCACGATCAAGGTAAAATGGCAAATAATTGCATTTGTCTATCTCCATCATACAAAAGTACATTGCGGATATTCCGAGGGTGCCCACTGAAACTCGAGGCGCAAGGAGGCGTTTAGCCAAGGAACCTCATAAGAATCGGGCAACCCAAAACCATCCAGACTTTGCTAGCGTCGCCTTATCAAAGTCATTTGGGTGCTCGTGTTGAGCGTAATGTACACGTTGTCCTCCGGTCCTTGATACCAGAGAACCAACACAAAATCAGGACCGGACGGGCGAACAGGTTTATATATCCTCACACGACCTGGGACGTAACGAAAACATCGCTACGGGGCAGCGGCGCGAGTGAAATCGAGTATTAAGACAAACACAAGAAGTGAGGAAATATGCCCAGACGCAAAGTGGTTGGGCTGTGTGTCGTCCATGGGCGGGAAGGCAGAGGTGAATGAAGATGGATCTTTTCGCCGTCCAAAGCCGCTCAGTGGTCGTTTTATTTTTCAATTAGGAGCGGAGCTCGCATGGTTATACTGGGGGACCGTCCAGCCGAAGATTGCACGGTGGAAAAGCTTAGAAGGGGATGTTGAGGGTGGGCTGAGCACCGCCCATAGCTTCCTGCTGCTCCTGAAGATCCTCGCCGGCAGACTCGACGGAGACGGCGATACCGAGCTTCGCTTGTTGCTGGAAAGAGGAGAGAAAAGAGTTAGCGTAAAGTTCACAAGCGAGCAAAAGAACAAAGAAGAAATAAAATCGTACCGAGAAGTAGTCAATGTCGGCGGCGAAAGTCATCATGACAGGAGGAGCAATGCGCTTCTCCAACAGGCAGCTCAATTTGCCCTTGGAGTCGATCTGAGAGCGGAAGGTGGACATGCGGAAGTCGTACTTGGCGCCGACAGTGGCAACGCCCTCCTTCTGGAAACCGCCCATCAAGCCGGCGGCGCTCGGCACGAGGGACAGGGTCAGGTCGCAACCGGCCTGGACCTTATCGGACAAACGACGCCAGTAGGTGGTGTTGAGGGCTCCTTGGGCCTGGAGCTGGGCGGTGGCTACCCAGTCGTCCGACTTGTAGCGCAGCGAATAGGAGGTGGCGGTCTCGGGGCCCTGGGTGAGGCCGGCACGCTGCCAGACGGTCTCGAGGCCGAGGGCGAGCTTGGGGGTGACGGACTGAAGGTAGCTACCGATGAAGATACCCGTAATACCGCTGTCCAGTGCTGAAGGGTTGATCATCTTCAGAGACGCAGTGAAGTCATCGCCAACGTACTCGTTTTCGAACTGGACCATGTCCTGTCCGGAACCCGGGACGATCTGCAGCTGCGATTTGGAAACCAGCTTGTCTGTCCACCTGTAGTTGAAGCGAGATGACAGCGAGCCCTCGTTATCCAAGTTTCCTTGCAAGAACACCTATTCATCATAACATTAGCCAGAGTTTTCGGGTTGATGCAATTGAGGAGGGCGACTGTTTGAGATTGCGAAGAAATAATGTATGTATGGTGGGAATGCATCGTACCTTGTTTGTTCCGTACAGGGCAGCGAAGGTGTAAGGGTTGAGCCGTTCGCCCATGGCGAAAGCATGGGAGACTTGAAATAGAGGGGACATGCTGAATGCCTTGGTGACATCGGCGCGCATGCCGCTGAACATGTAGTTGTTGAGGAAGACATCGCGTGTGACCTCCTTATTCAGGTTTTCGACAGTGCCGGGATTTGAGAGGCCGAGCTTGGCTCTCCTTTCGGAAAAGGAATTGAGCACATCGGAGAAAGCATTAGAGATAGGATTCGTCGTGAGGAAAGAGTGGAATGTGTCTAAGGCGGGTGCCATGATTGCGATCGGGGCCAGAGAGGCCTAGGTGAGATGCAGGGGAGGGAGTTTGTCGGCAAAGGAAGAGGAAGAAATAGATTTCTAGGTGAAAGGGCCGATGACCAGTGAGCAGTTGTCGCCAGTAGCCCTTGTCACAGCAAGAAAAAGGGTACTCTTTGTAGAGTGACTGGGTTTTGGAGTATGTTTTATGGACGAAAAAAAGGAGGGTTCCCTTGTCGCGAACACGCCAGGCTTCCTGCTTTTTGCTGGTTGACGTTACCAACAAAATATAAATTTCTTTCAGCTCCGTCTCACTGTACGTACCCTGTTCTTGAGCCGATAGCATATTGAGGTCACGTGTTATGAGAGTCGGCTTACTTAATCAATAAACGGAATTTAACCAGCCCTGGTTACAAGGTACCTAAACATGGGGATGGGGGTACGGGAAGATACTTTTGTACCCAACACTTTAACCTTTTTACTCCCAGTCTTACATCCCGTGGGGAGGGGGGTTTCCTACAGCGTAGACATCTCTTAGACACCGTTAATAATAATGACCTGGGCAGACGACTCATACCTTCTGAACTTATCCAGAGTCTTCTTTCAATTAAGGTATCATAGGGAGATAGGGAAGTCATCCTTATCTTCTAACGAATACGGAACAATTCGAAGCAAACACCCATCTATACATAACTGCTCTTTTTCTGACTCAGCGGACGATTTACGGTGTACAGTCAGGAGTAATCAATATCCATCCACTTCTACGAAGGACGGATAAGAAGCCTAAGATCTCTACCTGGATGAAGACTTGGCCGACCGATTTACTCCGTACGCCTCCGTCAGTGCCCGGTTTATCACGTCTACATCCACATTTGGCATCATCACTTTTATCTATGCCAACCTGCAACCTGCAACCTGACTGAAGAGTTGGTTGATTACTCCGTACCACCAACACAAAAAGAACTTACACACGCCACACAGACCTATTTATTCTTCATAGCACGTCTCTATTAGCAGGCTCAGGTCGACATCATTCCTGCTTTGATCAAGAACAACTCGCAACTCGGGAAATATCGCCGGACGGACATTGTCAAAGGAAAGCTATACCGTACGACCACGAGTGAAACCCTAACGACAATTTTCCGAAGCTGCCTGTATCAAGTCTTCATTTTATGGACTTGAAAACAGACTCACAAGGGATCTCCGTTCAGTTTTAGGTTCAAGTCGGCTTGTCTGTGTTGGGATCGTAGCCAGCCAAGATGGATACCTTACTGTGAGTTGACCCAGGTTCTTCTTGTTCCAAACAGTTGTCTTGCTCCTAGTATTGTCCTGTTTACTACCCCAATGCACAACTTCCATCTCATGATCTCCAAAAGCTTGACAATTGCGGGGAAGAGGCACACATCAATGGTCTATGTTGCGGTGAAGGGTTTCGATTAGAGAGGGCCTTTGGATTTGTCCCCACAGTCACCCACGTCCCCTATCAATCACTATCACAGGGGTTGGGTAAAGGACAAGTGACGAGAACATATGCTATGTCCAAGTATGTGTGCTCGAAACGTCAGTCTCTACCACCATTCGGGGGGGTTTTGGTCCAGATAGACGGCGCTCCTGAGTGGTGTACTCACTCCTCACCCTCAGGCGTTCTTGCCGAGGGCAATAGTCGGTCTGGATAACACGCAGTCGGAAGGGACAGGCCACACTATATTACCAACTGGTCCTGCCTCACCTCCTTGCTCCGTCCTGTCTTCTCTTCTCTACTTTGCTGCTGCTTCTCTGCGCCTCATTTCTATAGCATTTCGCACCAAGACCTCTTCACGTCTTCGCCGTTGTCATCCTTTGCAATACCCCCCCCCCCCCCCCGTTATCATGGCCCTCAGACCAGAACTTCATGACTGCGAAAGTGCTGACATTCATGACAGCACGGCCGAGATTGCGGCCAACTCACCACGATACCGCCGTAAGAGCTCTACCTTCATCGATGCCATCCACGATGTACCCGAGGATCAGAAAATGGCCCCGGCCCAGCTGTACAGCACCATGTCAGGCCGTCTATTCCACTCTGGGAGAATTGCCATTGTCATGGTTGGTCTCCCGGCCCGTGGCAAGACGTAAGCACTGCCTCCCCACTCTGATTGACCCCTCCAAGTTGTGTGGTTTTGTCCTGCACAACTTCACATTACCTTCAACTAAACAACTTCGACTCGCACAGGCACATCTGCGTCTCTCTAGCCCGGTATCTCGGATGGTAAGAAACGGAGACTCGGCTCTCTGGAAAAAGAAAAAAAAAAGAAAATGTCATCTCACATCGTTCTCCGTCTTTCTAGGTTAGGCGTGAAGACGCGTGTCTTCCACTTGGGAGACTACCGTCGAGCGACAGTGGGCCCGGGGGGCAAAGTCCCCGAGGATTACTTCTTCCCGAACGCCTCCCCGACGTCTGTCATGCTCCGACAGAAGATTCTCAAGAAATGCCGCGAAGACATCTATGCATGGCTCAATCATGAAAATGGTCAAGTTGCCATCTATGACGCCGTCAATCCGACAGCGGCCAGTCGTCGATCTTTGGCAAAAGAGTTCGCAAAGCACGATGTCCAAGTAGGTTGGCTGATAGTGGTGGTGACCGACCATCACCGTAGTATTCTGAAAGAAAACGGGGGACTGACAATACCCTTTTAGACATTGTTCATCGAATCCTACGTCGATGATGAGGCCATCTTGCGGGAGAATGCCCGGAACGTCAAGATTTCATCTCCGGATGTACGTCCTATGATACCAAACCCCCCTTTTCTTCTTCTTCTTCTTCTTCTTCTTCCTGAGCCGACCTGACGCTGAACGCCTTGAAGTTTGCCGGAATGGATCCCGATGAGGCTGCCCAGCTCTACCTCCAACGCATTAGCATGAAGATTCCAGCCTTTGAGACGATGAACGAGCAGGAGCTTAACTACATTCGGATGATCAACGCCGGCCAGCGCTTCTTCTATAACAACATCTCTTTCAACTACCTCTCCCATCGCATCGTCTTCTATCTTACCAACCTCCACGTCAAGTCACGCACAACCTACTTCGCCCGCGCCGGCACCACCACGGAAGAGGACTCGTACAAGGCCGACGCCCCGCTCTCTGAAGAAGGCAAGGCATACGCAGCCAAAATGTCCGAGACCTTATTGAGACACCGCGAGGAAGAACGCGCCGCGCTTATCGCGAAGGGCGGACCGGACGTCCCGCTTCGACCTCTCTCAGTCTGGACCTCGACGCGCCTTCGCACCGTGCAAACGGCCGACTACCTCAAGGACAAAGGCTACAAGGTCCGCCAGCGGTCGCAGATGAGCCAGATCAACCCGGGTGTATGTGAGAAGTTGTCGGAGCGCGCCATTCGCACTCTATTCCCCGAGGAAGTCGAGAAGCATGAGGTTGACCCCTACCACCATCGCTACCCGAGGGCCGAGGTAAGCTCTTCGTCTCCTTTCCTCCCCTGTCTATCAGCCTTAGCACCTCTCTGGATGGAGAACCAACCCCCTTTCTTGCAACTCAATTCTAAACCTTCATCTTCCCAGTCTTACCACGATCTTGCTGTCCGTCTCGAACCCATCATTCTCGAACTTGAACGCGAGCAGAGCGACCTCCTGATCATCGCTCACGAGTCGGTCCTCCGCGTCCTCTACTCCTACTTGATGCACTGTTCGACTATGGATATCCCCTTCCTCAAGTTCCCCCGCGACGAGATCATCGAGATCATCCCGGCCGCCTACCAGAACGAAGCAAAGCGCATTCGCATTCCCGGAATCGACCCCAAGGTCACACAGAGTTCCCCGGAGAACATCGCCATACCGGTCCCCACCAGTACTAGCGCCTCCAGTTCCATACCCGGGAGTGGTACCCTGAGCCCTGATGCTGGCGCCGGCGTCTCGTCGCCCGCCGAGCCTGTCGAAAGACCGCCCGCAAATGTCACGAACAAGCCCGCAGGCATTGTGGCTGGCAAGGTGGATGACGAGGACTAAAACACCGAAACTTCGCACCTCTGTGAGGAGGACAGTGCCTGGGTGCTATATGTTCCGTCCTGCCGGGATATGACCTAAATATCAAGGACTCGGGTCGTTTTAGCTTTGGCCGTTTTGCTGTGTTGCCGTATTAGGTGTTAGTATTAGTACTGGGGCCAAGAGAAGAACGAAGGATATGACATATTTCGTTCTGGGTGGGCGGGAAATGCCGTATCGGCAGAACTTGTAATGAGAAGAAAATTATATGATTATTTTTGATCTCCCCGTTCCCCCATTGCGCCCGTCATCATGCCTCCAAGAACTCGGTCCCTTCGTAAAAACGAGTAACGCCAATGCTATGCTATATGCTGCGCAATGTCAACCGCGCCAGACAATTTTGGCTCCATTAATTAACTCCTCCGGCCCGTCCCCTTCATTAGTCGTTGTTGCAAAAAACATGTCGCACTGCCAAGGGTCCCCTTGGCATCGGTGTTTATTTATCCCCTGACCGGACTCTTTGCACGATTTTCGTTCCTCGCGTTGTAAACCATCCCGACTTCCCAGACAAACTCCTCGAATCCACCATTTGCTTCATACGTTGCGAACCAAGAACCCCCTTTTGCTCGGGAAAAGGGGACCGGAGAAGATGGACTTCACATCAGATTGCACTCCCGTTCGGGCTGAGTGCCTCTAAACCTCGCCTTGTTCCGTTTCTGCCTGTCTTTTCGCGGCGTCATGTTGGGCACGTCTGCGTCGTTCTCGGAGGGCAGCTCCACTACCAAGTCCGACTCGAAGGAAGGCCGCGACGCCTCGGTAGAAGCCCGGACCGACAAATCGCCCGGGCGGGCGCTCGTCGGCGTAGTAGGGTCGTTTGCGGAGGGAGACTGGACCCCGGTATCGCGCTGTGGCTCTTTTCCTGCGCGGATGAGCCCGCCGAGGCGGATCATGGTCGAGCTGATGCGGCCTTCGCCCCCTTGGCTGGGAGGCCGGCTCTTGGTCTTGCCGGTGAAGATGGCGGCGGCGCGCGAGAGGCGGTCTCGCGTGGATTCTTCCCCCTGGGACGCAACCGGGGTGACTCCCGCAGAGGAGGTGCTGTCGGAAGTCTTCGTCGGAAAGGTTAATAGAGAGTCGGACGTGTTGAGGTCGGTCGAATTCAGCCGTTCGGTGGTGTGGTTGTCCAGACGAAGTCGCTCCATGTCCAAGGACAAGCGCACGCTGGGGGCTTGCGGGGGGGAGATCCTCCGCGGGTCAAGGCCGTCAACTTCAGCTCCGTACATACTTCCAACTGTTCCAACTGGAGCGCTGGCTGCTAGGCTGGGGGCCGCCGAAGTGCAGAAACTGGCCTTGGAGTTGGAGTCGGCATATGACGGCAGTTCCGTCTCAGTCTCTTCGGTCGTCGCCACATCCACCATGGGCACGATTTGGTAGAAGAGGAGATAGGGCATCTCCGCCTTCAAGGCTTGTTTAAAATCGTCCACATAGCTGACCCGGTTGTCGAGCTGCAGGTCGTCGAATTTGACCCACTGGGCTTCTTCGTAGTCAGGGGGTGGGTCGAAGTTGTGCCTCCGGTTGTGGGTGAGCAGCCTGGGGGCGACCCGGGCGAAGGTAATGTAATGTCCGCTGTGCACAGACTCGCCCCGATGGCAAATGACGGACTGCAGGACGAGCTTGTATTCCCTGCTGAAGCCATTCGGGTCTTCCTCCAGGTGTCTCTCGTCCGCCAGGATGAAATACGGCAATCTCAAGCTATCGGGTATGTCAATGAATGTGTTCAGTCGCTGCGGCACATGCTGCTCCGTAAAGCGATATCGCTTGAGGCAGATGCCCACCACCGGCCGCTGATCGAAGCTCATGGCGACTTCCCTGTTGTTCTTCGGTTCTCGATTCCCAGCAGCATGCCAGGGAATCAGACGGAAGAATTGCCACGCGGGAATCGTCACCGCCTTGACAATGGTGGAACTCGTCCGCCTCGCCTTTCCCGGTCGGCTTGCTTCGCCTGACTCTGTCGGTCGGCCTTTCTCGTCCACGTGGACATGCTGAATGACGCTAGCAGAGCGATGCCGAGACAGCTGAGCAAACTCGATCGAGGGAGAGGCCTGGCTCAAGCTGCCGTTCGGGGTCCCAGGTGCCGGGAATTTGTCCCGAGTCGGAGAGATTGGGACAGGAGATGCCGTAGGCTTCTCAGACGTCGACATCTCTGCCTCGTCATCCCTCGACACCAAACGCATGGTACTCATCCGCGAGGCAGTCGCCGGTCGGGGCGTCTCCTTCTTGTCCTCGAGGCTGTCTCTCAGAACGTCGACCTGGGAATTGAAATAGTCATCCACGCAGTCTTCGAGGCGTAGTCCCCTTCCTTCTGGATCCGGAGGCACTGCTAAGTTCAGTAGGCGCTCCTGAACGATCTTGTGGTCGCTATCGTCCGTCTTGCCATGATGGAACAGGTCGACTTGTAGTTGGAGCAGGGGTAGCTGGAGGGTCTCGGTGATGAAGGCGAAGGCCTCGGACGTATCTTGTTGTTCCACGTTCCTCGCGTCTCTCCAGCCGCAATCTGCTAGCGCTTCTTGTATATGTTTTGCCTGTTCCGGTCAGCGTCCCTGAGCCGTGCGAGTTTGTCTAAATCGGGGTGCGAACGCCATACAATGTCTGCTGTGATGAGCTTTCCTGTCCGGAGCATGTTCACCCATAATCGCAGGAGCGTCACGAGGCGGCTGCGAGGCTCGTCTGTGAAGTCGTGCTTGAGCATGCCTTCGTACGCCGTCATGCTGACGAACATGGAGAAGAGTAGAGAGTCCAAATAGCAGGTGACGGCGTCGCGATTTTCTGCACCCAACATGTGAACATTGGGGTCGTAAGGATAGATCTTGCCAGCAGAGGCGTCGCAGGATAGTTGAAGAAGCTCGACGGCTTTGGCAACATCGCCGGAGGCGTATCTGCCCTGAAGAACGTCCCGCACAACCTCAGGAGAAACACCACTGAAGTTCGATTCGTCGAGACGTTGTAAGACTTCGTCGACCTGGGGACAGCCATGGTCAATATGCTGAACGAGTGCAGAGGGTGGAGGTTACGTGTGCTGTCATCACACACACTCGTACCTTGGCCTTTTCATTTTCGTGGTTCACGCTGGTCTGGCTCTGTCGCGAAGCATCGTTCTTGAACAGCCAGGAGAAGGCGTCGGCGGACTGAGCACGGAGACTCTGCACACAGAGAAGATGCATTAATTAGCCCAGGCCGAGTTCTCAATCAGGACAATGGTATTTCTGAGATACAAGCAACAGGCTTGCGTGGACACCTACCTTTTGTATTCCATCCTCCGACTTGCTGCTCCGGTGGGAGCCATCCTTATCCTTGTCCCTGACGCCGAAGAACCGCTTCCCCTTCATGGTTCGCTGGATACTGACAAGCTATCGAAAGAGACTGATGAGTTATAGTATTGAGGATGGTAGTTGTCGGACGGGGATAATAGGCGGTAGGCGCCAACATGGACGCTATGGAGGCAGCAGTGGTGCTGTTGGTATCATTCGGTCGTCGGATGGGAGGGTCGTTTACGTGAGTCGAGCTAAGGTAGTGGCTCTCGAGACAGCGCGGGGAGGCGTATACGGGCGCCTCTCAAGTGAGGGTGGACGGCCAATTGAGTTCAGACTTGGGGCGGGTTGGGTTCGGCGGGCAGGTCAGCTGAAGCTTGTTATTCTGTTTATACGGAGTAGGGCGCTGACGCCGGAGCCGGCGCTTCTAGCGCCTAGATTGTGAAGGAGGTTGAAGGAGATGGCGGAATCTGTGGGGCTGGCGAGGGAAGTCCGGTCCAGCTTGGATTAAATGTTCAGAAGCAACCAAGAAGTCGAGAGCTGAGACGAAGAGACTGTAAGTCGAGAGGTGAAGAAAGGATTGTACTCCGTGGGACGTGATATCGGTGGCGGTAGAAAAGAGTAAAAAAGAGAAGGGAATAGTGTAGAAACCTAAAAAAAATTATATGCTCGTACCCAAAATATTTGCGTGTAATAGGAAGCGAAGGAATTATTGTCCGTAGTTTGTAAAGAAAAACACCTCAAGAGGAAGTGCAACTTAAAATATCTCGGTGGTAGGCCATTAATTTCAGTCCCAGAAGGCCACGGGAAAGCCCGTTCAAAATGTTCAAATGGGAATCCCGCGCAGGAAGTCCGCGGGGTATGATCATGGATTGTGACCGGCGGAAGGGCCGAAGCAATGCGCCCCTATATTCCGCACATGTATGGATACCTTGCTTAGTAATTACTTGGTGTTGTAAAAGGGGATCCAGAGGAGTACAACGTGTAGAGGTACCGTACCCTGAAGAGCACAGTTATCAGGTGCAATCAGGAGTCGAAGTACAATGTGCCTGGATACCGCCGAGATCTCGGACAGCTCAACAGGTTCAGTAGTAAGCTCCAAGGACCACTAGCTCCTCCATATGCGGATCGATACTTGTTCCCACCCTACTACCTAGGTACCTACGCGGGAGGGGGCGGGCACAGGTCAGCGCTCGAACAGAGAATTTTACACTAACCAGAGCCAGGACAGAGATATAGCTATTATTAACATAATGTTCTAAGACTTACGACATCTGACCAGTCTATCGGGCTTTAAGGTAACCTATAACCAGCCCAACCCGGGTAGGTACCTCCCTTATCTAGCATTAATTACCTTGATAGGTTGTTCTTGGGAATGCGTGGAAGTTCTTCAAGGCTTCGAGCCCGCCTTGCGAGGCATGGTGAATGGCCCCGAACGACGGACCTTGAATTACATCATCCTTCCCGCCCGCATTCGGAAACCCACCTCTGCAGTCTTGCGACTTGGTGTCCACCAAATGTCTAATTCTTGTCGACACCTGACCAAAATCCATCACGAGTACGTTGCACTGTGACGACGAGTCGATGGCAACTTACGTAGCTCTGGTCACACTTGGTACCAAAAAATAAGATCTTTGCCCTGCAAAATTGGCTGCCTAAGGTAGCCAGCCTATAGGAAGGGGGTTTAGTAAATTTACCAACTTGACGTTGGATTGGAGGTCAACGTTAAGCGACTGCCTTGAGTCAACTCTATTCGAGGCCGCTGTCAAGCCAGTGTAATTCTTCTATCTTCCATTAATGTGCCACCTAGGTACGTAAAGTCCACGCCCCTCTGCGTAGAAGTCCGGGGAGACGATACAGATTCCACCGCCCTCTTCACAAAGTCGTCTTCTTCGAGACCGGTGTTCCCCGGACAAGGACGCGGCACCCAACGGGCAGCCGGCTGACCAGGACATGGCAATCAACCTATTACCTACCGTACCTGCTGGGCCAACATGTAAGGAACAGGAACGGGACCATTGTTTACTAATCACATATTCACATATACGTTGTAATCGAATCTACGACTCAGCCACATAATATACTGACTAAGCGTGGCGCACGAAATGCCAATCGGTCCAGATACTACCAAGGTGGTCCGTGAGCTTTGGTTCATTGAATTTTTGAGGATCGCGACGGCGTCCGAGACGCCATAAGAATGCTCTAATCACCAGTTTACCAACACAGCGTTGCGCAACAATGGCTACTATGCGTGAGGGAACTCGGATAGCCCGGACGATTAGGGCACAAAGATCTTTATGGAGGCCAAGACAGCTCCAGACAGTGGCCCGACGATGGACCTCGTCAGAAGCTGGAGACCCTGAGCTGTCGGATCTCGAATCCAGCTCGTTCGTCGTCCCGGGGCCTGACGATGCCATTGTACAAGCATTTGATACGGCCCAGCGTGTCGCAGAGAGACCACAGGAACTTCCCGGCAAGAGGTAAAAGCTGATCATTTCTAAACAATCCATACATACCCTGCAGAAGTCACCCAGAGACCAAAAGCCCCAACTAACGTAACGAAAAACGAAAAACAGATTCCAATACCACCCTCCCAAGTACGATCGTGGTCCGTTGCACCCTATTCAGTCGCCGCCCTCCTCCGACCCGACAGCGCGAAACTTCGTTCCCGGCCCGTTCAATCACCCCCGCCTCAAGCAGACCTTTGACTCGACCATCGCATCCGACCTCATGACCCTCGCTTACAGTCACAAAGTGCCCGGAACGCCAGAAACCCCAACACCCGAGCGGTTGCGGGAGTGGGACGACTCGTCGCCATACCACAAGAACCGTCCCCGCCGAGGCCCCAGGGGTGCCTCCGCTCTCGACCTGCTCGAGAGAGAGATCAACTTCCGCCACATCCCTGAGATCAAGGCCGTCTCCGTTTCCGCGTTCATGGGCCAGGCCGCGAAACTGCCCATCATGCTCCCTGTGGCCCGTTCCGTCATCCAGGCCATCAGCGGCAACACCCCCACGACGGTGCGCATGAAGGACAGCGTGACGCAGTGGAAGGTCAAGGAAGGGGACCGTGTCGGCATTAAGACGACCATGTACGGCAACCAGGCGTACGAGTTTGTGGACAAGCTCATCCACATCGTGCTGCCTAAAATCAAGGAGTGGCCTGGCGTGAAGGCGACCACGGGTGACGGCAACGGCAACTTGGGCATCGGCTTGCGGCCCGAGGACATGGCTTGGTTCCCCGAGCTCGCCGTCAACTGGGACCTCTACCCAGCTCGAGTAAGTGATTTTTTTCTTCTTTTTCCATCCTTCTCCTCTTTTCCTTTCCTGGCTGCCTGCTTGGCATTTTCCTGGTTAGATTGTCTTTTCTGTCCAAGTTACTGACAAGGTTCATAGCTCGTTCCAGGTTGCCGGATTGCGATCCAAACCACGGCAACGTCAGACAGGCATGCGAGGCTTCTGCTTCAGGCTCTTGGGCTCCCCTTCTATGGCAAGGTCCGGCACTGAGCTTCTCACCATGTATTTTGACATGCTTCCCCTGTACATTACACACATAGAGACGTCCGTGTACATCGCGAATTGTACCATCACACTTTCATTTGAGACAACTGGAAAGCAAGGATGGATTTTATATATTGTGCATGAAAGAGCCAAATTAAAAATCCGCAAATTTATTCGGTTTTCTTTATTCATCCCCGTCTCTATAACCCAATCGTAAGCCATATCTTCAGTCCTCATGCGAGTAACTCCCAAGTCATGTCATGAAACCAAACGCCGTCCCGTGTTGATACCAAGTTGACCCGTCCCGGTTCGAGTCCCCTAAAGTTCCCGTAACGCAAAGAAAACCGTGTCAAATCAAGCCTTCGCAACCTTGGCTTTGAGGAAGTTCATCACCTCATCCACAGCATCCATGTCCTGCGAATCTATCTTACTCCCAGAAAACCCCTGGTTTGCCAGCTCGTCCGTGCAAACGTCCATGGCAGGCTGATAGTTTCGCACCGCGGAGCTGATGGCGTAGATCGCCTTGCGGCGGACGGGCTCTTCCTCTTCGGGACGTGTCGCGAGGGTGATGAGACGCGGCACGCCGCCCATGGCGAGCAGACGCTCCTGGGTGGGGACGTTGTTCTGCACGGCGGTGCCCACGCACCAGGCAGCCATGCGGCGCATCTCGGCGTGCTCATGGTCGAGGCAGTCGAGGAGGGGTGTCCAGAGCGAGAGGTTGGCAATGTTGTTCGCGTTGTCCAGAGACTCGATGAGCTGCTCAAAGTTGTCGAAGGCGATGAGCTTGTTCTCGAGCGCCACCTCCGGGTCGTGGATGGTCTCCATGGCGGCCTTCATGAGGTCGGCCTCTGACGGTCCGCCGAACAGGGAGGCGATGACTTCTGGGTTGAGATTGCTGGCTGGTCGGGCCTCGGCGTTTTCTCCCCTCTCTTGGTTTTCAATGCCCCATTTGAGGAGCTGACTGAGGTTTTTGTCCATGCTTGGCGAACTGTTGACTTTTGAGTTTTGTGACGTGAGGCGTATTATGACAGCACGGATCTTTCCAGCTTCGAATAATGACCCCTGTGTAAAGGATTGGCTGTTGGTGTTCAATCTTTCTCTTCCCGAGCCTTTCTGGACAAGAAAGAATTCAATACGAGAACTTGATATTTGTTTTCTTGTCTAAACACAAAACGTCTTTTTTTGATTTTTCGGATGTTGAGTATAAATGTTCTTGAACGGTGATATTCACCTCAATTCCCAATCACTTTTTTTTTCTCCTCCTTTTGATGACCTGGGCTTCGCTGCCTTTTCTGGAAGCTTCAAGAAGAAATGATGACAAAACAGGAATAGTGGCACTATCACGTGATGGAGTTGGAGCCAGGGACGTGGGAGAAATTATTAGGAGCTTTGGCCATTTTTCTTGGTAGAAGTTGTTGAGATTAAGGTACCCTTGACCTCTGCAGGGGTTTAATAATGAACATGTGCGATGCCCCGAATACTTCGTTGAGCAACGTCCATTGCGGATATTATGAGGACTCGGAATAAGAGGTTAACGTCTACCGACATGCAGACTGATTGATGATGGCAGATCTGAGGCGCCTCCTCTGAGAATCACTGCAAAAATGCCGATGAATTACCCCACCATGCATATAAAAGTACCCCTCATTACTGTTTCTAGTAGGCACGTCACTACGAGGTAGCTAACGCCATAATTATGCCATAATTATCTAGACTCCAACGGTATGAAAGAACATTAGCACGTGAATTGACCTGTTTACTGGAACGCTTGTTGCTGATTGACGCGGCGTGGACCTGGAAGGATTTCCAGAGGGATGCCGGCGACGGAATGACAAGGCCGGGACTCCGCGATCAATGATGCAGGCTTTTACAGGTCGACGGGAAACCCCCGCCGCAATGCGCGGTCAGAAGTGAGCGAGTCGCATGGTGGACGAGGTCGACATCATGGCAGCCTTGCAGATACGGAGTAGGCAAGTCAAACGCATGGTGCCTAACATTACAAATGCTCCGATCCTGATGCCTAGCGGTCCGCAACTTGGACGAAACATCTGACGAGATGATAGCACGGAGCGATGTCGATTCTTGTCGGGCCAACCATGACGCACCTGCGATAGTTGTATGGGCAAGTTTCCACGTACGCGTATACGTGTCTCGTGGTCAGGTGCCGGTAGAACCTACGGTTGCAGGAGAAGTTGAAGTCCACTATTGTAACTACGAAAGTATTAGGTAGTACGCCGAATATCCAACATCCAACATGAAGCCTAACGTAGAGGATGGAACGGCCAAGTAACGGATTGGGGGCCCTGCATTTGGCACACCCTTTTACCTGCCACGCCAGTCTTCATTCCAGATGCCTGTTGAAGAACCTTACCCGAACTTTGAACCACCATCGCGGCTTTGTAGGACGAATACGTAAGATAAGGTATGCGAGCCCGTACGTCCGTACCTTAGGTAGTCCAATACTTACATCGTTCTCGAGTGTGGCCAATGTTCGGTGGACCTACCCTAAATGCGGTAAGTGAATCCCCTGGTGTGGCGCACCGCGACGTTTAGCTGCGCACCGCCTTGCCCGTGGACGCCCCCACCGCAATAAGCCGCACCCTCCAGTGTCTGGCCAGGAGACAGCGAAAGCGAAAAGGCAGCAACATAATAAGGTAATCCCAATTCCTGCCCACTCCTCCACCTCGCACTTACCCTTTTCCCCCTCCGCCAACTTTACCCACAGCCCAGGTGCGTGCGCCTCGACCGCTTTCCACTCTCCCCATAAACCAACCTTTCCTTTCACCACCTCCCCATCCACCTTGGCCCTCTCTCCCCTACTCAGCAACTTCACTGTCGGTACAGATTTGTTTGATTCTACTAATCCCGCGGACTGTGTCTTGCTGACCTTATTTTCATCAGCTCTCTTTTGGCTCTTCCCCAACCCCCATTTCCACAACCCCAACACAAACTACGTAATTCACAATGGAAGGTGAGTTTGTCGATGCCCAAAACCCATTCATCACCATGAATTTAATATCACCTGTCTCTACACACATATATGAGACCATCACTGACGCTGAATTCCGTTGCAGAGGAAGTCGCTGCCCTCGTTATCGACAATGGGTAAGATTCTGTCCCCCCCCCTCAGCCACCCCCTTTTTTCGACAAACGTCGGATCAGACGGGGGCCTCAGTATTCTCCCGCGTTTTCGTGCCAATCTATCAAAAATCAAACCAAGAATGGCTTCAAGCAGAGGAAGGAAAATAGCATCAAGAGGACGAGAGCTAACGAAACAATAGTTCGGGCATGTGCAAGGCCGGTTTCGCCGGTGACGATGCGCCCCGTGCCGTTTTCCGTAAGTGCCTCTTTGTCTTTCCCGACGCCAATATGACGTCGCCGTCATATCTGGTTCTAAAAATTCTTCTTGCTGACATGTTGCAGCCTCCATTGTCGGTCGTCCTCGCCATCATGGGTATGTTCCATCTCGAACCGGCGCCAGCGCCATGTAGTCGGTCGCGATACCGTGCTCTAACAAGTTTCGATTAGTATCATGATTGGCATGGGCCAGAAGGACTCGTACGTTGGTGACGAGGCTCAGTCCAAGCGTGGTATCCTGACCCTGCGCTACCCCATCGAGCACGGTGTCGTCACCAACTGGGACGACATGGAGAAGATCTGGCACCACACCTTCTACAACGAGCTTCGTGTCGCCCCCGAGGAACACCCCGTCCTCCTGACCGAGGCTCCCATCAACCCCAAGTCCAACCGTGAGAAGATGACCCAGATCGTCTTCGAGACCTTCAACGCCCCCGCCTTCTACGTCTCCATCCAGGCCGTCCTGTCTCTGTACGCGTCTGGTCGTACCACGGGTATCGTGCTCGACTCCGGTGACGGCGTCACCCACGTCGTCCCCATCTACGAAGGTTTCGCCCTTCCTCACGCCATCGCCCGTGTCGACATGGCTGGTCGTGATCTGACCGACTACCTGATGAAGATCCTGGCCGAGCGTGGCTACACCTTCTCCACGACTGCCGAGCGTGAAATCGTTCGTGACATCAAGGAGAAGCTCTGCTACGTCGCCCTCGACTTCGAGCAGGAGATCCAGACCGCCACCCAGAGCTCAGCCCTGGAGAAGTCCTACGAGCTTCCCGACGGCCAGGTCATCACCATCGGCAACGAGCGCTTCCGCGCTCCCGAGGCTCTGTTCCAGCCCTCCGTCCTGGGTCTTGAGAGCGGCGGCATCCATGTCACCACTTTCAACTCGATCATGAAGTGCGATGTCGACGTCCGCAAGGATCTCTATGGCAACATTGTGATGGTAAGCATGCCTAGCCCATCTTGGACGGTGAAGACAGACAACCTGACAATATCCCTAGTCTGGTGGTACCACCATGTACCCCGGTCTCTCCGACCGTATGCAGAAGGAGATCACTGCTCTTGCTCCTTCTTCCATGAAGATCAGGATCATTGCTCCTCCCGAGCGCAAGTACTCCGTCTGGATCGGTGGTTCCATTCTCGCGTCCCTGTCCACCTTCCAGCAAATGTGGATCTCCAAGCAGGAGTACGACGAGAGCGGTCCCTCCATCGTCCACCGCAAGTGCTTCTAAGGTACGTATCTATGAAGCCGTTCTTCTCCTTGGGATCCCAGTCTTCGGCGTCTAACGCTACCGTCAAAGCACGCAACATCCGAACCTGTACTCCCATCATTCCCGCAATATTGCGCCGATTCCACAGAGGCCGCGGCCGGTACAGAGCCACCATCACTGCGCTCTCGTCACAGGCAGGTCTCGCATCTACGAAAAGTTTTTGACGAGGTCAAAAAGTTGGGGTCGGCGTTTCTCCCAGACGATATGGTCCGTATTATGTAGCAGGGTGCACTTTACACGGTTAAAAGTGGACTCGTCTCCCAAGGCTGAATATCCAATACACTTTGCTTTGCAGCTATTCTTAGCTCTTGCGGCTATCTTAGTTATCGGCTCTTTTCCCGCTCTTCTGCCATGATTACTAGTATGCCCTATAGAAGTCTGTTCTAAAGTAGCCATTAAAAATTCAATTTGATGTGGAGGTCGTTGACATAAACCCGTCGAATTGATCGAGAAGTCAGAGATGCCAGCCCGGTTTCTCAAGACTTGCTGGAGTCGGCCGGCCCCTTAGTATGCGGGTCCCCCTTATCCGAATCACCATCGGTTGGCACGGCGGCTTCAGGGTCTTTCGCATCTCCAGCCGGGGCCTCTTCCGCCCCCTCGAGTTTCCTGTATTTGCGCCTGCTCTTTTTGGCCGCGCTGGCCGCCTTCTTGCGTTTCACTTCTCCCACAATGGCAGAGCGACTCTGCTCGCCACTGAACATAACATCAAGCTTGTCTGCGAGAACCTGCCGTGCGATCTTACGGTTCTGGGAGCGGGAGCGCGTAGCCTGGGACTTGACGACGATGCCGGTGGGGATATGCTTCAGTTGGACCGCAGAGCTAGTTTTGTTCTGAAGTGCGTCCAAACAAAGGATGTTAGTAATGAGGGAAAGAAAGTATTGATTTGGTCATTAGAATTGGGATGATGCAAAAGACAAACAAAGATCGTGAATGGTGCATGCATACAATCTTCTGACCGCCCGGGCCGCTGCCTTTTAAGTACGACTCCTCGAGCTCGTGGTCTGGGGGCGGCTTGGGACGGGGAGGCATCTGCTTCAACGCGAGTGCCGAGGTGCTGAATGGCGCCAGCTGCAGGGACGCAGCGGCTCTAGGAAAGTCGAAGGTTCCATGGATGGCTTTTTGGAAGTGGCGGGCGAGGGAGCTCATGTCGTGCTTCGGGCCATGGTCACTTTCGTCGAGTTGAACTTGGGTCCAGGTATGGACGTAGCCCCCCCCCTTCGTACCTTCGTTCACCGAAGAGGTTTCGGGGCCTTCTTGCGCCACATGACATTGGTGGCATTGGACGCCACGAAGTGCTATGTTCTCCAATCACAACCTTCCAAGTTAAAAGCTAAGTCACAAGCCACTTCTCATTTATCCTGGCTAAGCCACGTCCGCTACATCCGGACAGTATCCAGTGAGAGCCCCTTTCATTGCATGTTCCGAACCTGACGAATTCCGCGACGCGAACTTACCTCGCCAGTTTCTTATTACAGCACCACAACCGATACCCTATACTCATCTGCACGGCTTATTTCCTATACTCAGCTGATATAATATCCACCGGCCGCCTCCGTACAGGCGGAACTGCCTGCCCGTTCGATCTCGAAGCCCTAAGAAGCCGCCCGCCATGTCCATGCTCTCGTCGTTCGGCCGCTGGCTGCACCTCAAGCAGTACCAGTTCGAGGTCACATACACCGTCTACATGTTCACACCATGGGAGAAGTTCTTCATGTGTATGTTCCTCCTCTTGTACCCCCCTAGTTTGAGTTGCAACGGGAGTAAAAGGACCTCCCTTTCCTCCTTGCCTCTTACTCTATTTTACGGGCCGCCATGGAAACCTCCCGCTGACTTATCGCCTGTTTTGCCTCGGAGACACCATCGTCTTCCTCCTCGCCGGACTTACGTTCATTGCTACTGTCCTCTACCTCCCGCAGCACCTCGCCTTTATCGTCGGCCGCGCGTGGTTCTACATGCACGGCGAAAACGTCGACGTCGTGGAGCTGACCAAGGGCGCGGCCGATAGTGCGCTGCAGCAGATCGCCTCGGCTACCACGGCTGCTGCGGGACTGGCTGCTGATGCGGCTGAGACTGTTGCGCGGGAACTTTGAAATACGGGAGAATTTCCGTCGAAGAGACTCGCTTCTTCATGGTCCTGCGTGCTCGCTCCATGGGCTTCAAAGAGATAGGACTGGTGCTGCATAAACACTACCACTGGTGAGGGAAGAGAAACATGCATACGAGGTGGATGTACGAATGGACGAATACGATATAGAGTCCCGGTTGTTGGAGCCGAGGACGGCATAGCCCGCCTGGAATGATCCTTCGGGCGGCGGCGGCGTTTTGGTTGGTTCTTCTCTCATGGCACGGTACGATGCCGTAAAGAAAGGCAGGCGGCTGGAGTCTTTCTAGTCATACCAACATAATCCTAATAATACCCTATCCTTTCACAAGGGTAAAGACCCCCTTGTAGGCTCATCACCTGGACCCAACAGTTTCCAAGTCAAGGAAACGGTATATCCTGAGGGAACTATCCTCTCCCGCAATGGCGAGCTCTTGCGTCCGTTTCTCGTTGTTTTCTTCCACGCCGCGGCTTGGGCGCCATGCCAGTTGCGAGACCGGTTTGGGGAGACAGAGACTAGTCGCGGGTTAGTATCCGCATGTCGGTGCAAGGGGGAAAGGGGGGAATCGCACTCATCTGGTAGTTGGAGGATTCGGGAAGCCTGTGTGTCTCCAGAAGCAAACGTCACGCTATAGAGAGATACTCGGCCGGCCTCCGTGCCCAATGCTAGGACGACGCCGCCTTGGGGAACTGAGTGTCCAAGGAAATCTACGGCGGTGACGGGGGTGTCGCAGGTGATTTCCGCCTGTTGCGTAAAGTTAACCTTACCGCCAGCGTCATATGGTCTCGAGCCCCAGATCTTGACACGCTTGTCTCGGCCGGCCGTCACAAAGACGCGACCTTGCTCGCAAGGGGCCCACGCCGCATCCAATATCATCCGACTGTGACCCTTCGGATTGCTTTGGACTAGCTCGTATTTCAGAAGATCGTTGGTGTCGCGCCCGAATACGGCCCACTGACGGTCCCGTCCGACGCTGAGGAGATATTTATCATCCGGGGAGAACCGAAGTCGTGTTACTGTGAGGTTGTGCGCTTGGAGAGGTGGCTTGACCTCTGTCCAGCGTTCTGTCTCGAAGATTCTTATGACGGCGTGGTTTAGCGAGCTTGCCTTGCAGGCGCTGGCGATAAGTTTACCGTCATGGCTCGCCGCCAGGCATGAGAGCTCATATCCATGGCCGTACAGTTTCTCAATCTCGGGCCAGAGTGTGTGGCGGGAAAGACTCTCCTCGAACGGCGGGCGGTCGATTTCCAGCGCCGACTTTCGCACGATAGATGCCGGATCAACCGAGTCTCGATCGTGGGGGTTATCAGGCTGGACTTCGACATCGTCCTCCACAGCATCAATGGCCTTGTTCGATAGGCCAAGGACAGGCATATTTGCGCCATCAGGTAGCTCGGCGGCGGCGGCGTCGCTCGAGCCGCTCAGTCTGCTCAGCATCTTGGCTACCGCTCTCGGTTTGCTAAAGACCCGCATCAGCTTCTCGTCGGCACCCGAGACGAACTGAGAAGGACCAAGGGTGTCGATGCAATTCAGATCATAGCCATGGATCTGCGGCCGCGACATCTCGTGCCAAGTTTGGCGCTGTTCCCTTCTCCACTGCCCGTGGAGGCGTGTAGTTTGGTCTGTGCTCGTCGACACGAGGTAGTCTCCGTTCCCCGACCACGAAATTCCCGTTACGGGCTTGGTATGACCGCTTATGGCAATGGCAGGCTGCCACTCGTCGTGTTCGCCATTGTAAACCCAGCGGCGCCAGCTTCCTGTTCGGCCGAGGCAGGCCACCGACTTGCCGTCTGGCCCCCACAAGCCAGTCCAGAAACCACCAATGCTGCCGGTTGCCGTGGTCGCGCCCTTCTCCCTGCTTATCTCGCCCAGACGGACGACGCTGAGCCAGATGCCGGATGCTGGTTCGGCTTCCCAGATGGCGAGTGAGTTGTCGGCTGAGGTGGAGAGTAACTGAAGCTTCCCAGGGCCATGGTTAAACCACTTGGCATTGTATATCCAATCCTCGTGGCCCAGCAGCAGCGCCTCAAAGGTGACGGAGAAGTCTTTGCCGGCGCAATGCAATTTATGTGCCTTGTTGGACGGCGACTTGCCAGGGAGGTATGCGCCGCTCGACGGGTCCGCATCTGCGGCCAGTGCAGGCAGGACACTGCCCCGGTGAAAGCGCCATAGGCGGATGTACTTGTCCTGACTGGCCGAGGCAAGGAGAAGGTCGCTCTGGGGGTCGCCGCTCTCCCGTGTGAAGTCCAAAGACCTGATCCAACCTTCATGACCGGTTAAAGTCGCCTGCAGGGCGAACTCGGGTGTTGCTTTTCCAGCTGCGTCGGCCAGGAAAATCTGAATGGTATCCCTAGTGCCAGCGGCTGCCAAGACGAAGACATCCTCATCATTGTCCAGTGCCGTCAGAGCAAGAGCAAGAGGAAGGAACTTAGGGTTCGGCTTGATTGTTTGTAGGAGCTGTAGTTGATTCGAGCTCAGAGACCAGATCTTAATAGTGGCGTCTGCCGCACCGGAAGCCACAAGCACCGGGGCAGATGGATCTCGAGGTCTGAGAACACTTATACAGTTGATGGGGGATGTGTGCTCGTTCGCGGTCTGGAGGCACACACCCCTTTTCAGATCGGAGCTCAGTGACCAAAGCTTCAGGGTGCGATCATCAGAGCCACTGAGTAGGATAGCGCCGTCATCACTGCCAGTAGTGAGAAACTTAACGGCCTTCACCACATCCTTGTGACCGCTCAGGATCGCAGTGATGCCGATGTTGCTCTCCGCCTTGATAATTGATCGCGGCACCTGTCAGATGAGCTGGCCCAGAGACGGACTGACTTGAGGTGCACACTCACCGAGGGAGACCACACGGCAATGTTAGAATCAGCACCGAAGGCTAGAGCCCCCGACTGACTCCAATCAGCAACCGCTGTGTGCCTGTTGGCGCCGGTGGAGAGGTACTCAGCGAGGACCTGGGGACCGGTCATAGCGGCTTAGAGAAAAATTGGGCGTAGAGGGTTTACGGAATATTCCAAGACCACTAGGGGAGTTTGGAATATTTCGGTCGCTCTCTCTACTCAACTGGCATTCAACTGGCAAGGAAGGGTAGGGTGGGTGACTGATCAGAGCGTTTACTCGGCGAGGTACTTCTTCATGAGACTTGATCGAATGACTCTCAAGCTGTAAAGGAGACCTTTCGTTGATTGGTTCACGGCCGGTGAGGTTTGGATCTGACGTTGAATTTTCATCCCTTCGCACGTACCTGGTAGGCATAGCATGATATGGAGTACGGAAGTAGAGTGTAGTTCAGATACTTTGTGCCAATATATTTCTAGCCGCTAACAGTACCCTAACAGCACTGTACATACGCAAGTATGGAGAAGCCTGCAACGGTCAGCACCGATACAGGTACTGAGTGTACTCGAACACCACGGTACCTTGCCCACGAACAATGGCCGTGTCAAGCGGTACGTTTATTGTATACTACAACCAAGCTACTTCATGCCCCGCGATATAGTAGCTTCTTCACCTTTTTGGGCCCCTCTTTTCTTCAGCTGTATTTTTCGAACGACTCTTGAGCCGGTGGACAACCCCAGTGTCCCGCGCATCTAACAGCTCGGGATATATCTGAATCTGAACATACACTTTCAGATTCACCACGTCATTAGCACATTATTAGCGAGCCGAAAGGCCCCTAGCATCATCCATCATGACAGGCCAAACATCAAGTGAACCAACGTCAAATGCCACTAGCGACAACCAGATTTCCCTCACTGTCGAATTCTCGTGAGAGACGAACCCCAAATGACACATTGACACGGACTTGTCGCTGACTCTGTAACAGGGGAGGTCTTGAAATGTTATTCGACGACCAGCGCCGGTACGAAGTATCGGTTCCTGCGGTCGCCGAAGATGGAAAACCGGCCACTATTGCCTTCCTCGTGGGCTATCTATGCCAGAACCTCATGAAGGATTCTCGCAAAGAATTGTTCGTCCTAGATGACCACATGTACGCCACCTCCCCCTTCCTTTGCCGATTTCCCTTCCCTGGGCTAGGGGATTTCGTCTCGTTATTATTGTTCAAGAAGCATCAGGAAGAATCAAGACTTCGGACTAATAGTAGCATATAGCCGACCGGGCATCCTTCTTCTGATCAACGATACAGACTGGGAGCTGGAGGGCGAAGAACTGTATGAGCTCAAGAATGGCGATCACATCCTGTTTGTCTCGACTCTTCACGGGGGTTAAGAGGATGTTGCCTCCGCACCTTGAATGGCTCGGATGATCCGGGATTTCTCACGCAGTCAAACCCTGCTGGTTGCCGTTTCGATGCCTTCGGCCTCCTTGGTTAAATCGCATTCCATCTCGGGGCGGACAGATGCTAGCCAGTCAGCAGATCTGGGCCGCAGTCCCGATGTGCCTGCCAAATGTCCGACAACATGACCAGGAAAGGTATCACAGGCCTGTTCTTACGTTGGCAATTACTCGCCTTAATTGGGAGCCTGAAGCCACCACGGTATAAGCCGTCTCGGGAGGACACAACGTCTCGTTTTACGAGGTCGTCCTCGACCCTTCTGGGGAACGGTAGCCACAGTTCTCGCTGACCCGGCTGGGTCTGTCATAAAACAAAGACATGCATTCGCCTTTCTTAGTCTGTCTTCGGCAACGACGGCTCGTCTCCCGAGAGAAAAATGCGAGGGGAGAGGCGGAGAAGTCCAATATCTATATGGGCCTCTTGAAGTCAGGCATGATGGGCTGTAGTCTAGAGTGCACCAGCCTGTATCTACCCCTGACAAGCCGTGCGCCTGCAGCTTGACATTTGCGAAACGCGAAGGAGCCCTATAATTAGGACTCGCCGAGCACACGAAATGACAACCGACATCACCGCAGGTACTGGATAATGCCGCATCGTCGGACAACTCGGTTTGCTTCGAATGATACGACGACTGGAGTTAGGGAGACGCCGGGGCCTAGATGACGGCTGGAGGTGATCCCGCGCTGCCACTGCCCTGTTACTATGCCCGGCATTCTATAACACGTTCGCAGCAGTGCTTTTCTCCCCTGTCATCCTTATCTATCTTCGTTCGCTGCTCATATGACGACATTCTCGTTGGAACGAGATCTGTGGTATTTATTGCACCCGTGCCTCCCCTCTGAGGAGATCCCGTCGAGTGAAATTGCACTACTTGGACGTAGGCGAGGGCGCTTGATGCCACTTAACACGTCATTGGATGTCTTCCTTCTTCCTTCGCCAGCCCTTGGGACCTGTGATGACTTGCGGGTCCCAAGAGACAGAGCAACATGGGCCATATGTATATGTGGGAGGAATAAATCGAGCCTCGATGGACGTATGTCCACTTAATTTTGAGACATTGGGGCGACCTGAATTAACGAGGACGGACTATACCTAGGTAGACTTCTTATCAATATTATGTGCCACATCCCCTATAACTAATCTTCCCCGAAACTAATCTTCCCCGAAACTAATCTTCCCCGAAACTAATCTTCCCCGACTTAGCTACGTAAATTGGAGGTGCCTCTTAGAGCCCCGTACAAATACCACGCATCGACCGGCTTAATAAAACTGACTGCCTCTTTATTAGGAGGTTGAATCTATTTTCATGACCGAGGGAATGAGGTAGGTATCGTGATGGTCCCCCACGTCCCCTTCCCCCCTCCTTCCCCCCCTTCACCCCTCCTTTCCTCTGACGACCCGTGCCCCACTGAGTAACAAAGTTACGATGTAACAATGGGCACTTTGTGCGTAATTACCTAATAGATGCCGGCTCTGTTGCGATAGGACTCATTGTCTCGGAAATCGAGTGACGAACGAGGATCTGGAAACTTCATCTCAGCTGCGGTGGCCTCGTCGGGACTTCCTGGAGGGGGTTCAAGTAGCGATCATTCATGACTTGTTATTTTTGTTGAACCAGGATCAATCAATCTACGAAGTTAGAACGAGACGTCTGTGTAGGAATTATGGGAATTTAATATTGAACATGGTGTGTACATACCCAACTCTTCCACGGAGCATTGTCCCCGAGTAATTATCATGTGGTTGGCCAGGGGTAAGGGGAGGATCTTCCCTTTGTCATGTCGATGGCACTCGTCCTTCCGAAGATTGGCTGACACTGTATCTCAGTGGTTACCTAGGAGAAAGGGGTAGAAAACGACCCGAGTAAGCGAAGCGAGCTCAGGCACAGCTGTGGCAAGACCCCGGTAGGGTTACATCGGCCAACGCAAATATACCTAACGGCATTACAACGTAAACACTATTGCAGTCTCGAACGTTGAGTTGCGTAGGCCCAGGACGATTTCTCTTACAAAGACCCTGCTCTAAGGGCGGTGAACGAGGGTCACCACTAAGTCAAAGCAGCGATCGGATGAAGCGTGGCGGAAAAGGAGGGAAAGCAAAGGCCATATTAAAGAAGTAATATATTATGTATTCTGGCAAATACTCAAACTTTATCAGGACATAGGCCGGTTAGTAAGAGCAGACTCGTCCCTCGTTCTCCTAGGTATCTTCCAAACATTAAAATGGATAATAAAAAAATAAATACAAAGCATGTCATATTCAATTCTCGTGACCATCAAGTCGTACACTCCAACCTGTCCCCCTTTTTCCAGTGCAAACATCCTCAGCAGGCTCTCGTCGCTTCAATGCCTAAAAAGTAAAAAGTAAACAAAGACTCAAACGCTCCCATGAATAACGCCATTCCGCCTAAAACACATGATTTCGTTATGAAGGAAAACGAAGATGCAACATAGAGAGGGGGCTGATTCGACGTCCGCTGACGTGAGCCACTTTCAAGCGAACCCCAGACGCGTCAGAGACGAGCAAAGGGCGTTAGACTTGTGCATTTCAATGGCGGCGGCCATTCTGCCCTTGCCCATGCGGACTTTGCTGACCCTTCTACCCCGTCCCCGGCCCTTGATGCCCTTGTTGCTGTTCTTGTAGATGTTGGAGAAGTACCACAGCAACTCACGTTCGTCTTCCGAGAGGCTGCTGTGGTCCTCGACGGAGGCGATCCAGTCTATCAGCCGCGAAATCGTTTCCTTGTGGTACTTGTTCTGATGGTTCTATAGTTCAACTGGGTTAGGTAACGCGGGGCACTCCTCGAGGACTAGGACCACATAATGGGGCCGACAACTTACCTTGAGGTTCCCCCGGGTGGTGAAAGTCTTCGTGCAGTCTTCAAGCTTGCACAAGAAGGGCTTTTCATTGCTGTGCGTGGACATGTGCGCCCTCAGATTTCCGCGTTGCGCGAAGCGAGAATCACACCTTTCGCACTGGAAAGGGCGCTCGCCTGTGTGCAAACGATAATGTGTCTATTCGGGGGGACTATGTCAGCAGGGCTTCGAAACTGGGACTAGCAGCGAGGGTCTCTCCGCACCTTGAGATTCCCGGGTTGGGAGAAGCGCCGTTCGCAGCCAGGCCACGAGCAAAGCTGTATCAGGTTAGTCTTCCTTCCGGTGTCATCGCAGGGGTAGATCCATCGTACATAGGGCTTCTCTCCCGTATGCGCTCGCTTGTGCGTCTCTAAGTGTGTGCTCTGGGTGAAGCTCTTGTTACACCCATCGAAAGGACAGTGGAACCTCTTGGGTTTCTCCGGCCCCGTCCTCGTGTTGTTGATTTTCGGATCGCTCTTGAGGTATGTCAGTCCGGGTTCGCGGATACGGCTAGTGTAAAAAAGACCTACGTAGGGTAGCGATATCGGCTCGGCCTTCACGCTGGAGCTCTCCGAGCTGGGCGAAGGGATGGCGACCGCAATGGTGTCTCTGGCATTTGTCTTTTGCAGAGCCTTCATCATGACGTCAACTGGTGTCGAGAAATCCACGCCTTCGGTCTTGATCGGCTTGTTGTACACGATGTCCTTGGTGTGCATGGGATGCGGCACTGTGGGCGGGGGGAGGGGCTCTTTTCGGGAAGAAGGGCTATATTGCCGGGGTTCCTGAGGCGGTTGCTCAGGCGCTGCTTGGAGGCCTAAGCTGTGGCGATCCTGCGATGGGTCGACGATGGTGCGGCAAGGAGGGGCTGCTGATAGAGCAGGAAGTTCGTAGGGAGGGTATGAGTACTGGTGAGGAGGCGTGAAGTGCGCCGGCTTCATAGGCGGTATCTCATACGCCGCCGTCGCTAGGTAATGAGGGGCCATTGCGGAGGGAATAATCGGGGCCGAGGTGACAGCTCGAGAGTCGTAATGGGAATAAGTCAAGCCGACCATCATGCTGTACCCGGGATGCTGCTGTTGGGGCCAGGGGGCCCAATGGTGACCCGCGGGAGGGGGAGGTGTCATATTCGCAGCTTAGTCCAAGCACGCGATGAAGCTGTGTGGTGTTGCTTGTTCCGAGGAAGTGTCCGAATTCCTTCTCTTCGATGTAATTTCGAGGATGGCTCCGAAAGGGAGTCGGAAGATCAAAGCCTAATAGGGTAAGAGGGACCTGGAAAGGAGGAGATAGATGTAAGTACAGATCATATAAATCACCAATGACCGCGGTCCGTGTCTACTTGGACTGAACGAGAATGGTTTGGGCATCCGTTCTTGTTCTTGGGGTTGCACAAGTGAATATATATGCCGTACAACGAACACAAGATATCCAACTCACACTACCTTACCTACAACGTACAGCGTACACTCATTTGGCGGCCATCTGTGGAGGATGCGAGAGCCGGGGTCGATCCCCATTCGAGGCACCAGGCGATTGGAAAAGACCCGCCCGGGAGATCTGACCCGCCAGGTTCCCATGCACCATGCATCAGAGACATCGCAGCGCAGACAGGGGTGTTCAGAAAAAGCAATGAGCTGAGGCAGGAACTCCGTACGTTGTACACACACGACGACAGAGGGTCTCGAAGGCTGGCTGGCCTCTCTGTTACTGGGAGTCCGGTACATGTCGAGTTGAAACCCCCCATTATCGGACCAGGGGGTGAAAAGCGAAAGACAACGCCTTGTATTCGTGGACGCCTACCACGTACGTTGTACATACAGCGTAGTTCGTACGAAGAGTACATACCCATGTTCGAACAATTATAAGCTAGTACTTCATAGGCATCGGTCAGCGAAGGGATACCGCGACTAGGACCAGGCTATCTTTTGAGGAGAGAGGGCTGAGCCTTCACCACTCTAGCCCTTGCTGGCTAGAAGCTGGACCCCCATCTTCGCCAGCACAGTCACTTCGCGGAAGGCCTCCGAGTCGACCTACAACGTACGGATACACAAAGGACCACCGGTATTAGCCCATTGCCAAGAAACAAGAAACAGCTACATACCTGCTAAGATGAAGTTCGCTGTAGCCATGGTAGACTAGACGCCATAAGAGACAAGAAGTACCGTTAGTGGAAGGGCAGCAAATCTCTACAAATCCCCACGAGATACAAATGTGAGGTGAGCAAGCCATGGAACTGACGAGAGGCCTTTGGAGTCTGCCCTGTGCTGGTGCAACCGTTGGAGTACGCTGTACGTTGTAACTGCGCTAAAATTTCGTGTTGTCGGGCGGGACCCCGGCCGGAGTCTCGGGCTCCACTATCACTGCTCGGGCTCCAAGACAAAAGGCGGGGCAACAGGGACGGCAAGAGGGCCTCGTGTGTCAGGGGTACGGTGCCGTTGATTTTCCGCTAGCTCATACCAGGGTTCGCTTCCCGGCAGCAGTGGATCTGTTTCGTGGTGCAAAAAGGGTACCTACATAACAACGACCTGGAACGTTGCTCCAACTACGTAGTTTTCCAGGTTCTGTTCAATTTAAGGCCGGCCTGTACATTTATATCCGTACTTCGTACATGGCATACCGGGCCTCTAGGTCAGGTCAAAGGTTCAAATAGACATGGCGACTGTATACTTGAAGATAAAATGCAGCTACTCCGGTCTTTTTCTTTTTTCTTTTTTAACGTAGGGAGAGTATCTACAGAAACATCGTCACAGGGATATTTTCATTTCGAAAGACAAAAGAGGTTGGGATGTCCCATGCTGGGGACTGCTTATCTCCGTAGGATGTTCGTGACAATAGCCCAGAACAGGCTCAGTTACAAACCTTGAATCTCTGTAAAGGTATATTGACTTTAACTACCCATACATATATTTCCTCCGCATATGGAAAGTTCTCTCTGGATCATCAAACGCGAGAGGGAATACGCAATGTGACCTTGCTGATTGACGAGTAAATACCTAAGGTACCCACGTTCAAGCTTGCCAGGTACCCTGGCTTTCGGACACCAGAATAAGTTACACTGTAATTTCACGAGCCCCAAAGTTCGGCGTAGGTAAGGTACGTACAAGGGTGACCAGTTTCAAGGCACCCCAAACTTTGTTTATAAGGTACTTGGGTAGTTTAAGCTTGCAAGTCAAATCACCATGCGTCGGTAACCAGACACCAGAACTTCCTCGAGTTACATTTCCCATTCCCACACTGCCACCGACTTACTCTACCCATATCTTTATTCTCGGTCTGTCATGGCCGACTTCACCTGGTGTATGATTTATCTGGGGATTTACCTGGGGATCATAGACACTATTGAACAAGGATATTCCTTCGTAGATTTTCTGCTGACTGGCTTATATACGTTGTACTGTAGCTCCTTTTGTACGACTCGAGGCATTAGTGGCGCTATTAGGGCCGCCTCGTCTGTCACACAGCAAGTACACTTCGTAGGCTCTCAAGAGCAGGTTCTTGATCGCCTCATGCAAGGGCGTCCTCATCAACAAGCACCTCCGACCTCTCCAAGCCTTCAAGCGTCCAACCGCCTCCCCTCCCTCGGTCGATGTGTTCTAGAGCCGTACCGTGGGTGCACCTGCACTTTCTGTTCCATTGTCAGTACCGGCCGAAGAGTAAAGCCACAGCCTCAGATTCGCTCTCCAAAGCCCATATCAAAGACCTGTCTCACTCTTTCTTCTCTTCCCGCCACACTCGCAGCGTCCCCTCTACGAGACGGTCTCAGCGATACCTGGGCCTGCTGGGATAAGTGATTGGCTCGCAAACACGGAGCTATTTCCGGGGTATAGCTGCTTATCTCCCCTCCCCTCTATGAGAAGCTTCGCCTGGGGCATGGTGATCCACAAGCGTTGGGGTCGCGAAGATGATACCCAAGTGCAAGACTTTGACTGGGTAAGGTAGGTATTCGAATAGATACGGAATACTTTGTACCAGAATCGACAGAGTGCACGAGTCAAACACGCGCCTTGGTCCTTTCTCATTCGTCATATCCCCAGGATTCATCTGCGTATCTCGCCTGGAAACGTCCCGCGGGCTTAGCGGATCTTGGCCTTGGACTATCACACCCACCACTCACCGGAAAACATGATATGTGACGGGATGACAGATACCTAGGTACGTACCTACAGCGTACATTGTACAGCGTGCACGGCGTGGCGATGGCGATTCCCTAAGACACAACCATCGATCGGGTTCCTCCTTGCTTGGTATGTTGATAACAGATCAAGCTTAGCCCGATTACCTGGAACTACGGCTCCTCATCCACTGCTCAATACCGCAGCATGTGCGTGTATTTCTTTCTCCACAGTCGGAAACTTTGGGAAACGGGTTCTGCTGAGTCCCAAAAATGTGGTATATGGCCTGAGATAGCCATTAGCGTCAGACATTATTACTCTTGAGGTCATTACGAGGAAGGAACTGAACGTTTCTTGTGATACAAAATCTAGGTGTTGGACATGTAATTAGTTGACCTTCTGCTTTGGAGGGTGAGCGAGGATCAGCAACCGAATCCAATTGCAGGAGGCTATGGTACCTAGCGGGGTAATAGGTCCCGATTAGTGATCTCCAAACTTGACCAGCCACCTCGTTTTTGGCGGTGTATGTTGCACTCGCTGCGAGCTATTTTATTGTACTTCGTACGAAGTAATTAGTGACTTGGTTAATTAAGCCGTTCCTGTTGATCCACCGAGGAGGGAAGTCCCGACACGACCCGAGGAAAGGACAATGGAATTATAATATTACCATGCAACGCTGAAGGTCGACCCCTAATGGCTGGTGGGGTCACAAGGCGTTATGTGTAACGGTAGTCGGTTCCGGCAGGTCAGTCCCAGGATTTCGGTCAACCCGATCTTCCCGGCGATCAATACGTGCACAATTCCTGGTCCGGCAGCAAGAAGCAAGAAGGAGGGACGTTTAGTAATTGATAGGGAAACTGCAGAAAAAAAAAAGAAAAAAAGGCGTGCTCGACTAACCTCCCTGCACTGCTCTAATTAATGGTCGGATAATGGTGGGCTTCCGATACCTATGAAATACATCCTACGAGCTTAATACAATGCCAGGGATCAGCACGCTTTGCTCTGTCCATTCCGATGACTAAAGAGGGGATTTGAGCGTGGGGGCTTCAGGAATCCCCCCAATCCCACATCACGATATAATCAAATGTTAAGCCACTATTATTAGGGCCATCTTACCTACCGGGGTTTTTTTTCTCTTTCTTGAAAAACAAAAACAAATGCTGCGTTGCTCTATCTTAAAACATACCATTACGACGTAAGTGGGACAGTAGGTGGCACTCCTCTGGGGGGTTCATGTTAGGTATAGAGGCGAATTCTCCACCTTAATTAGCTCTATAAGCGAACCAGAGGAGAAGTATAAGGTACCTGACGTTGTATTCGTACCTGGACGAAGAAATGCACTAGCCATGGACGATCCGTCCCGCTCTTCCAGGTAATAGAGACTAATTGACAACGTTATTTTTTCTTCTCGGATTCTTATTTATTTTAAATAATATGTCTCTTTTACCATTGACACTGGACGAACCTGAGATACTAACCACCTACTCCCAGGTATCTACGACCGAATCATTGCGTCTGAACAAGTTCGCGGTCTTTCACTGATCTATGTAGATGACTATGTTGATATTGCATCTGCATCTCATGCTTAGCCTGTCCACTTTTGTTCATATATCTTCCCGCATATGAACGGACTTAGTAATTACATACAACAGAGGCTCTGTGCTGATAATCAACGGACGTATCAATGAAGTACGAAGTACAGAAATAGGTGCAAAATTGCGTGCCCCTATCCATACGCCCGCTCAGCCTTAGAAGGAGAAGTATAGATCCTTCAATCATAACCCAAATAACCATATACTTATTTTCCGCCCGGAATACTACCCAAGACCGTTTCAACGTCGCCAAGGCTAGCTATTCCCAGTCTACAATCTCCTAGTTTCATGCACACGACACCATCCTCGTTGTTGGCTCTGTGGTCCATAATGTGCGCACGTTGTATGTATCCATACCTATATTACGGAGCACCTTAGGTAAGTCCTTCTATAAAACCTTCGTACTGGTTATATGTGTTTGGACGCCGCCGACGTCGCTCACAATTACAGTCTGTGCTTTACAACGTTCAGGTACCGTATGAAGTACAACGTAAGGTAGTTTTCCCATAGGGTTAAAACCCCTGGAAAGATAAGATGAATATGTTCTATCTAAGGCTCCGTTCGGAGGCAGGTTGTGAGCAGCTGAGAGCTGGACCCCCCTTTCGCCCGCCCCCTCCCCCCCCAAATCCAGGGAGACTACAACGGTACAGTTCAACTGACCATTGCCCCCCCCTGCTGACCTGACCATTGCCCCTGTGCTGCCCCCCTGCTAGCGTAAAGTTCACCTGACCTGACCATTGCTATGGCCTTTGCTTCTCATCCGACCATTGCTCGCCAAGAGGGTACCAATGGTCGGGTGAGGTCAGCGGGACGGAAAAGTAATAGAGGGGAATTAAATCGCTACTATAATAGTAACTAAGGTGAAAATTACACCTAATAACTAGGTCACGTGATATATTAATAGTGACTAAGGTGAAAATTATACTAAGAACTAGGTCACGTGATATATCAGCACCCTTCCGGCCCGTAGACCTCACCCGACCATTGGTACTGGCTTGGCGAGCAATGGTCGGGCGAGGTCTAAAGCCTATAGCAATGGTCAGGTCAGGTGAACTTTACGCTAGCAGGGGGGGCAATGGTCAGTTGAACTGCAACCACAAATCGAGGACCCCCAAAATGTCTTCATTTTGGCTCCCGTTCCGTCGAGGGGTATTGGACCATTCCGAGAAACTGTCTTACAAAGTACTTCATAATTCCCTGCTTGTTGCCACGTTTTCGAACCGGTTGGTCGCGGCTCATGCGAGTGTGACACGGACCTTTATCTGATCGTCAGGACCTGAGAGATTTTGTGTGGTCGAGTTCGCACTCCGTATTAACACCGAGAGCTGAATTGAGTCAGGTAACTCCACGAAAGGCCCATATGTAGACTACACATATGCGGGCAGAGCGGTTGCTGTGTGGGCAAGTTATTCTCCCTCCTAATCGGGGGTATGCTGCTTAGAAAGGGGAAAACTGAAGTGGCGATTTGGGCAGTAGTGGAGACTTCAGCAGTAGTGTAGGTAGTGTAGTGTATAGTAACCGTCGTTGTGGACCACGTCGAGATTGGATGAGATAATGTCTTAGCTTACTCGATCAAGTCTGCAGCTGTAGGTAACGGGCACCAAGGTCATTGGTGCGGGATGTAGACAATGTATTGATGATAAGGTAGGTCATGATAATTGTACTTTATAACTCCTAATATTCGAGAAGTGCTGATTACTCGGACCTCGACCTGGGAGGCAGTTCAAGAGGTATGCAAAGCTTCGGAAGACCAAGAGCACAAACGCATAACCCATGGCATGTCTCCGACAGTCGAGGATGAACTCATCTCAGCCCGACCGGTGGGGGGGG